GGAATGAGCCAGAGCTGACTCATCTAAATAGAAAGACAGGAAGAACCAGAGAGGGGTAAACGTACTGGATCTTAGGATCGGTCGACATGGTGGGTGGTGGTGGTGGTGGGTGGGATGGGGGTTAGGAAAAAGGTATAAGTATCAGGGAGTTGGCAGCTTCTCTCGACCGTCGGCTTCTCTCGAACTTCCAACTTCCAGTCTCTCTTCAGGTTAGACTGGGATTGTCCAGGTCCGCCGCAGCTTCGGTCATTTCACGTCACGTGAAACGCGTGTTTGCCGTGTTTGTCCGCTAGTGTTTCCCGAGGTCGCGATTGGCTGCGTCACGTCGCGTCGGACAGACACGCTTCTAGACGTGAGGGCGGATCGTCCAAGCTTCAAACCACCACTTCCACTTCCTCCACTTCGTTCAAATGCAAGGCGTTCTGCTCTTCTTACCCTGCTTTCTACACACACTTACACCCTCTCTCTCCTTCTCTTTTTCAACCCTCACTTCCCCTTCAACCCATCTCAGCAGATTGTCTAGCTGTTGAAGAGGAAGCAGAGGAGAGAGAAGACAAAAAAATAAAAACAAGGGGTTTCTGTTTCTGCAAAAACTCTCCTTTTCGAGCTTTTCTCCTTGCAACCCATGCCTCGAGTTTAACGGCCTCCCCTCCTTTTACGACCCAGTGTCCCGCGTTAGCATTCCTTCAGGACCTTCCCCGCGACCTGTCGTGCATACATTCCAGTGCATTCTCCCGGTCGACACACTCGCCTATCAGACGATTCTGAGTGGTCAATCGACACGATCAATCTTCCTTGCTTCAACTTCGACACCGACCATTGAAGCCCGTTCTCTCGGCTGTCATTTCGTTCAACTCGACCTTCGTTGTCACTAGACTCGGTGCATCCTACAACAATCCAGACCTCGCCAACCACTCATTTACACCAACTCTTGGTTTCCTGCTTCTGCTTATGATCAATTCGCTAGCATTGGTGGCATGGAATCCCAGGACGGAATTTCCGTCCGGTCTATGAGGCGTAAGTCTATTCCTCCAATTGCTGTCTGACCCCTCACAATCACCTACTCACCGAATTCAACCTTTCTAGTGAAGGTGCTCTATACGTTCGACGAGTCCAGCAAGACCAATTGCTTGGCCCGGTGGCCCCATCTCCTCGACATCCAGACCGCCGCCCTCGACGAGAAGCTGCAGATTGGTGTCATTGAGCTGAAAACATGCATCCAGGCCATTGTTTCGGCAAGGTGAGTGCTAAGGATGGAGCTGGATACCTGGTCTTTGTACTCATTTTCATCGTCACAGCCCGGAACTGGTTGCCAAGCTTGGACAGGACTACACCGTGTATGCCTACGATTACTCCGAGTATGAGACGCCTCTGGTCGGACAGGGAATGCTGTCGTGGGTGCTTGCGTCAGCTTCTCCTACTCCCGACGCCCCCGCCCATCAGTCGAAAACCATGGTCACCGGTCGGGTGTGCAAGAACGTTCTGGGTCTATTTTCCAAGGGTGCTCAGGAGACGTTGGAGGTGAAATTGCGGTTGGTGCCGGTCCCCACCGTCCTGCAGAGCGAGTATCTCGAGAGCATGCAGAAGTACCGAGAATTGAGCAACGTCATTCCTCACGAGTTCGACGCCCAGGCTTGGACGAGTTTTGTGCGGCAAAACCCGGGTTTGGTGTCTCCCCGTGAGCAGCAGCCGGATCCCATAGCATCACCGGTGGATCATGCCGGAATTGAGAGGTTCCACCGATTGCTTAGCGAAGGGTCGACGCCAAGGGAGCTACCATCAATGGCTGGAAATGCGTCGATACGCTCGGCTTCCCCCGCGCAGTCGGCGCTCGGCCCCGTGAGCAGACTCCCCACCCCCGCGCAGCAACAGGAGCATACACAGCAGCTTCAGCACCAGCTAGACCGTTTACACAACGATGCCATCCGGCCCGGCTCCAGTGCTTCGATGCGCGACTCGGATCTCCCCACTCATCACTCGAGATACGCCCCCAGTCGTCGAGGCTCCATTCAATCAGGCTACGGCAGTGGTGACGAGTCTTCGGAACAACAACCCCGCAAAAGGGCCAAACTGTACCGGGCAGAGTGGCCTGGAAAGTCCGACTTGAATATCGAGAGACAACCCAGCTCTCTGCGGGTCGCCGCCAGCACTGCAGCCTCCGTTCGCATTCATCGCCCTACTCCGGTCAACCCCGCCATTGCTGCTGCTCAGAACTCGAATGAAGAGCCCGTTCGCCCGCCCACCCCAATCTCTCACTCACATGATATCACTCGTCGCGCACGGCCTCCTCCCAGCTTGCTCCGCGAGTCATCCCTTCACACGCCCTACACCTCCCCGTATCCTATGAGCGATGATCACCCCACCGGCGATAACCAGTCTCCTGAGTCGCGCTATCAGGGCCTCTTCGAGCCTTCGTTCAGTATGCCATCGTCGCCTCCCGTTCTCGACTGCGGGTTTCCAGGCCGCTCCAGCCCTGTCCTTCCCCCCATGGCCGACTCGGGCTTCATGAGTGGTGGTATGGATGAGCTGCTGGACGAAGAAATTGGCACCCCGCTGGACGACTCAATTGGCGCAGGCAGAGAGAAGCGGATTGTCCGTCCTGCTGCACATGCCAGCTCGCCCATCACTGCGCCCACCAACATAGAAAACTTCCCGGCCAGCGACGCTCCGGACCAATCTGGAAAGGAAAGAACACCCGCTCCAATCCGCGCACCAGCCAGCAACGCCGGCTCAAGGCCATCCTCTCGAGCTAGCATGAGACAGGCTCCTAAGCCACTTGCACCTGCACCAATGTCGCAGAGTGAACTCGAGCAGCTGATGAGCGCCATTCCCGCCAGCGATCCAATCTTGCCTTCTCATGTCAACACGCACAGCTCCCAGGCCTGGGCCGGACCGATGAGCGACTATAATGGTGCTGAGACCCCGGCCCCGCAGCCCGTGCTCGAAGACGGCAAGATCCGCAGCGGCACGGGCGCTCGCCGCTTGCGACAGGTTCAGGCACGTCTTGATCGGTGCATTCGTAGCGGTCAGGTCCCACCTTACTGTGAAAACTGCGGTGCCATCGAAACCCCCACCTGGCGCAGAGCGTGGTCGAAAGAGTTCGAAGGCAACGAAGACGACGCTAATAAGCTCACGGAGGATCCTACCATGTTGTTCTGGCAGGCTGTTGAACGTGACGATCAAGAGAAGGTCACCAAGTTTAAGGTCTACAAGAAGAGCCTAGCCGACACCGACAACGACTTTGTTCAGGTTCTTCTTTGCAACCGTAAGTGATACCTGCCTAACTTCTGCCTTGTCTGTACTAACATTCAGGCAAGCCTGTGGTCTTTGGCTCCACAAGTTCAAGTGCATGCGCCCAGAAAATAAATGGAACAAGACCGCCAGCAACAAGAGAAAGCGTCCTCCAAGGAACCGCAAGGGAGGCGGCCCGCTCTCGACCAACAACAACCCTGCAACGAGACACCGTGCCCGGGCCGAGTCCTCCAAAGCGGACGAATCGTCTCCTGGAGCGTCTGATGCCTCTTCCCCTGCGGTGGACGATGCCACTCCCCGTGGCGATAATGACAGCAACGAGGCTGAGAACAACAACGAGCAGGATCATGACGGGGCCCGGGAGCAGCCCGCCAAGCGGCGCCGTGCCAACAGCCTGGAGCCGCGCAAGTCGAACGACACCGCGGCCCGTCGTTGGCAGGAGCAAGACCCGGTGGCTGCTCTCCGCGACGCGATCCAGTCTAGTCCTGCGAGAAACGTAGTGGGGCGCAATGCTCCGGCGGCGGGCCAGAATGCTCTTACTCCCAAGTCAGTGAGAAGAGTGCTTTTTCCTAACTCCCAGAATGAAAGTGGACCGTTGAGAGCATTGGGTGACTCAAGCGTCAACAGCCCACGCCGCAGCCCCCGCAGTTCCCGGGCAGCCGAGAAGCAGGCTGACGATAAAGAGAACCAGACGGCGACTAATCTGGACGCACTCTTTGAGAGCCCGAGTTTCGGATTCGACCTGCCCGTGAGCCCGACCCCTCGGCGCCGCAATCAGCGGTCGGGTCTGTTGAGCGAGAAGCGCCTTTCCTTGCCGTGCATCTCCCCTTCAGTGAAGGCACGGAGAGGAGTCGCTGCGGATACGTCCCCTACCAGACTCACTGCGCAAAGACTTCAGCGCATCCAAAGCAGCCCTGGCCCCATGCCCCGTCAGCACAAGACCCCGAAGCAGGCTCGATCGACCTTGAGTGACCTTCAGCTGCCTGTCAACGCTTTCGGCGGCTTTGAGGGGATGGACAACATGATTGTTGACATCTTCTCCGACGCGCCTTCGGCCGCAGCCACGGACGCCCTGTTCGGAATTGATAAGTGTGCTGCGGGCAACAGCTGGCCTGACTGGATTCCGTCCGATTATGTTTCTCCCACTGGATCCGAGGGCGAGGCGGCGAACGGAGACTCTGGGGCGAGTGGGGATGATCCGCGGGATCTGCTCAACGCACTCATGGCTGATCCAGAGCTCCAAAAGACCAACCAGTTTGATATCTTCAATTATGTCGAAACGAACGTGCTCGATTCCGGATTCTTCAGCTCCGACGCCATCAATCCTGAGACAGTGCCGGCACTGGGTGTCAAAGACAAGGCTGCGGAGTCCGGCACTGGGCACGAGGCACAGCCGAGTGCCAATGATGTGTGATGATTTTCTTTACTTATCTGATGAGACGCGACATTCGTTCGGTTTCCTTTTTGTGATGTGTTTAGCGATGGCGTTCGGTGGATGCATATGATCGAGTGCATTGTTTGGCTTTGTTTTGTGGGTTCGTTCTTGAACGGATCCTTGTTTTGTATGTCTGTTATGGGAGGGATGGGAGGACTGGGATAAATAGGATAGGATTAAGATACCACAGTAGATACCAGGTTTCGACCACAACAATGAAATAATCAATTGAGTCAATTCCAAGTAGGTGTCAGCGTGTTGGACTGGAACAGCAGTGCCAGCTTGATTGCCTTTAATATGTGAATGTACACATCTGACCTGGGCAGGCTTACACCTACTACCCTCCTTCCACCTGAATAAACACAACAATAACATTTAATTCATTAAACAACAACGTCAACCACATCCACTCTCCCTTCCAATCCTCAAACCGCAACCGGGGTATATCACACCATCCTGATTCTCATCCTCATCACCAGCCCGCCACCTTTACCGAACTACTCATTCGAATCATAGAAAATCGACTTGAGCTTATGCGTGGCGTTGACGACCTGCTCATAGATCTTGTAATCTAGGAACGATCAGCCCACGCCCACCCCTGTGCCCCATATCCGGGAAGCAAGAAACATACCACAATCCGCCGGATCGCCCAGATCCGTACTGCCGAGCAATCGGATCCCAATGCCCTGCACCAGCAGACAGGTGTTAGCATAAATCTCCAGTATAACCCCCAACCTCAACCATCGAGTATAGTCCAGCCCAATCCCATTCAAACCAAACCACACCAACCCCAACCAAGATGATAAGAGCAGAAGCAGGCCCAGCCCATTCAGAACCTCAAGGGAAAGGAAGAACAAACGCACCCCCTCATTCAAATCCGTCACCTTCCCAATGACCTCAACCAGCTTGCCCATCTGCAGATGCGAGTCGGGCTTGAGGATGATCGTGACGTCGCCGGCGCCGCCGCAGGTGAGGGTGGCGGTGTCGCCGCGCAGGGCGGAGACGGTGCCCAGGATGCGGACGGTGTGTTTGCTGGTGGTCGAAGAGGAGGGGTGGAAGGCGTGGAGGTGGGCGGGGAGGACGCGGGGGGTTTGGAGGGACATTTTCTGAGGGGAGGTTCCTGGCGTATCGTATTGAGAATCGCTTGGGGTGGATTCGGGAGTGTAGTGTGTGTCAGGCGGGGGGGGGATTTGAGTTGTAATGTGTGCGTTGTGTGTTGGGATTGAGGTGAGGCTATACTCGGTTGGTTTGGTCGACTACTATTGACTATCGCCGTCGCGCCGCGCGTGACGCGAAGGCACGTGATCTGAGGCCACCACCACCGCTTTGGAAAGAAAAACCTGGTTGAGCCTGGGGTGGAAATGGGCTGCCGTCTGCATGCCTTAGGCCGTAAGGCTACGAGCTACTGCCCGGCACTGCACCTGCGAAAAGCAGCCTTTCTGGTAGCTTACCACTGCAGCTACACTTCCAACCACAACCCACAACTCTTCTACACTCGATACACCCAAACCTCCACCCACACATCCATCACACACACTCCCAAAACGCCCAAAGCGCCCAAAGCCTAAGCTACAGGCAGAGGCAACATGCCGCCCCCCCTCCCCTCCCACCACCGCGGCATGACCGCCAACCCCCAACGACCAAGCCGCTACCGCCCCGGCAAAGCGATCGCCGAAGAGCCTTCCTCCTCGGACGAGGATGATGAAGACAAGGAGGTACAACAACAACAGAAAGAGCAGGAAGAGCGCCGTCGTCGCGAGGAACAGCGCCGGCGAGCGGCGTTAGCCAAACCGCCACCCAAGGCTAGTTCTTTTCCCGCTGGGGCGGTCGCGGCGGCTACGTCTGGGGTGAAGGGGGTGAGGTTTGAGGAAGCGGAGGAGGATGAGGAGGGGTTTGTTACGGAGGAGGAGGAGGAGGAGGAGGAGGATGAGGATGATACGGAGGAAAAGGTGGGGGGCTCTGTTGCTGGCGATGGAGCTGCTGTTAAAACATCCACTGCTGTTTCTGCTTCGGTCTCTGGTCCTGGTGCTAGGGGGGGGATGGGGAAGGGGGCACAGGTTGAGGAAGAATCAGAGTCTGAAGAGGAATCAGAGGAGGAAAGTTCGGAAGAGGAAAGCTCAGAAGAGGAAACCCCCCGCCGCATCCTGCTGCGACCGACATTCATCAAAAAGAACCAGCGCACCGCCGCCGCGACCACCGACCCCAAAGCACCACCCGATCACACCGCAAACTCGGCCGCGGACGCGGAGGCCCGCCACGCCCAGCGCCAGGAGAAAGCCGACGCGCTCGTGCGCGAGCAACTCGAGAAGGAGGCGATCGCGCGCAGCGCCGCGAACCGGGCGTGGGACGACGACGAGCTAGAGGTCGCGGAGGAAGAAGCGATCGACGACACGGACGGCAAAGACCCGGAGGCCGAGTACGCGGCGTGGAAGCTGCGTGAGCTGAAGCGCGTGAAGCGCGAGCGCGAGGCGATCGAGGCCGCCGAGAAGGAGCGCGAGGAGATCGAGCGGCGCCGCGAGCTGACGACCGAGGAGCGCGAGCGCGAGGACCGCGCGTTCCTGACCAAACAGAAGGAGGAGAAGGAGGCATCGCGCGGCCAGACCGGCTACATGCAGCGCTACTTCCACAAGGGCGCGTTCTTCCGCGACGACGTCGAGCGCGAGGGGCTCGATCAGCGCAATGCCATGGGCGCGCGGTTTGTCGACGACGTCGCGCGCGAAACCTTGCCGGAGTACATGCAGATCCGCGATATGACGAAGCTGGGCAAGAAGGGGCGCACCCGGTACAAGGATCTGCGGTCGGAGGATACGGGGCGGTTTGGGGATGGGGTGAGTAACCGGTTCGGTGGGGGCCGGCGGAGGGACGATGCGCCGCTCGGGGTCACGGATGAGAGGTTCATGCCGGACGAGCGGCCGCGGGGTCCTACGGGGGCCAATGCCTCGGTGGTGCGCGAGAGGCGGAGATCCCGGTCGAGGTCATACTCTCCTCGCAGGGACCGGTATGGGGATCGGGGGGAGCGGCGACGGAGTCGCGATCGCTCGACAGACCGCTACAGACCCGATGGAGGCAGTCGCAGGAAGCGCAGTCCCTCGCCCTATGATGATCGAGATAAACGGAGACGAATGGAGGATGCGCGATCGGACTAGCCGGGGGTCGGCTTGCAATGAACATGGTATTTCTATCTTATTGGCGTTCTTGGGTATCTGAGAGCACGGATTGGGGAGGGCTTTGCATATGGGAAATCGACGTTTCTTTCCCCTCTTGTATTATATAAGATTCCTCAGACCTGGCGGCATGTATCATACCCGACGGGTGCACAACCAGGTGGAAGACATTTTGCTGAATGTACACTCGGTGCACCTCGTCATTGACCTCGCCTAAAGAGCATCACGCCGCAACGCCGACGGCCACATCTAGACCAAATCCGCTTCTCGCGTATCACGCAGCCCAGCCAGCAATACCAGAGCGTAGGCCTGACCCGCAATGCCCAGCACAACCACCACCACCACAACCGCATCCCAACAAGCCGTAAGCCGTGAGCTATCATCGATGGGCCCCACTAACTGCCGCCCCTGCAGAGAAACGAAACTATTTCACGCCCGCTCTCTCCAGAACCTTCTCCCTCTCCATGACACTCTCCCCGAAGCGCAGCAGGAATATCGTGCGACTGGGCCACATCTCGGTGGGCTGGTTGTGGGCGGTGACCTTGGCCTCGAAGCCGCAGCCGTCGCAGACGCCCTCGATGATGCCGGCGACGAAGGCGGCGCAGTTGAGCATGTTCATCTCCTTGGGCACGCTGATGTAGGTGTTGACCAGTGGGTCGTTGTCGGTGATCATGTACTCGTTGGGGGTCTCGGGGGAGACGGAGTGCTCGAGGGCGTCGGCGGGGCGGGTGAACAGCAGCCGCCACAGGGGGCCGTGGATGAGGTGCAGCAGCGGCAGGATGCGGAGGGGCCGGTTGGGCGGCGAGGCCGAGGTCGAGGAGCTGCTCGACAGCGCGGACGACGAGCTCGACCCCGTCACCGTGCGGTAGAAGAGGAGGTCCAGTAGCCGGAGGCCGAGGGGGTAGCCTTGTTCGTTGAGTCTGTATGTCCCAATTTCAGTGGCTGTCTCCGTTTGTCTCTCTCTCTCTCTTTTCCCCTCTCTTTCTGGGTTTGTGGTGTATACATGCATATATCCGAGAACAAGACCAATCCGGGAGAGGGAAAGGGACAATTCTTACCGTCTCTCCAAATCCTGAATCCCCGTGACCCGGCGCTGCGCGTAGGTGACCATCTCGCCGAACAGGAAGGCGAAGCTAGCCCGGCTGAGTTCCGCATTCCGGCTGCGGTTGAGGTGGCGGTCGTAGATGGTTTTGCGGTTGGAGGGAACGCGCAAACCCGTGCTGGATTGCGAGGGCGTCGGCATGTGTGTTTGGGTCTGTGAGGTGCTGGTGGTCGTTGTGGATGACAGGATGGAGTGGCTGTTGCTGTTGCTGTTGCTGTTGCTCAGGGAAAGCATTGTGACGTGGCGCGGGGGTGGTTGGGCCATTGTTTCTCGTCGTTGTCTGTGAATGTGTGCAGTAGGTCGGAGGGGACTAAGGTGTTGCGGGTGAGGTGCAAAGTGGCAGGGTGGGTTGTTCAGTTCATGCGGAAAGGGATTATCGACAGGCTGGAGGTCTCTGTCGAGAGGAGTCGGGTTCAATGTCTCATGCTGGTGGTGTATGGGTCGTTTGGAGATGTGGATTCTGGGGGTGAATGGGTGTGGTTTGGTGATTGTGCTTGAACTTGTGCTTCTGCTTGGGATGGATGGAGTGGCCTTACGGGAAGGTGCAGATGCTCGGGACGCAATTCGGAGGATAGCTTCATCCACTCGCCTGGCTTCGCAGCTCCGGAGATGGTCTCAAAAGCAAGCAAAGGCATGACGGTCTCCCATTCCTGGATCACTGCGCGCTATCAGAGCCCTACGCGACCGCAACCATTACGAGACGGAAGGCCAAACTACAAGCTATAATCTACAATCTACAATCTACAGCGCAACTAAGCGCGAGAAAAGACAAAAAAAAAATCTCTTCAGATGAATATTCAAGTTCTTCATTATTCATCTTTCTCCAATGTTCATGACACGTTCTGAGACTGCTAATAGCTAAGCTAGAATCTAAACTGCACGAGAGAATTAGCATACGCTCGTGAGAATGGCACGTGAGATAATTCAATATCCAATGTGACCAAACAAGTCAGACATCCAAGGAAGTATTGCGCACAGAGCACGTCTATATGATGGGTTCATGGCGACGGCTAGCGTGGAAACTGCGAATGTAGGAAAAGTTTTCATCATAAGAGCCCGGTGAAGGGGAAGGGGCCGTTGGTCATGAAGCAGATGAAGAAGAAAAAAAGTGGTAGCTTACCATTGAGTTAGTCGCATCATTCATTGATTGCCGGAACAGGTCAAGAATGATGCAGAATCCGAAGGAAATCCATTTCCTTTGGTTGTTGCATGTCTCCAGGTGAAATCACATAAAATTCCCAAGGAATGCAATGGGTGGCATGGTGTGTCGCGCTCAACAAGAAAGTAATGTCGAGGATGTCGAGGTGCATGAAGAAGGAGAAAAGGTTTTCGGGGCGGGAAGGGGTTTTTATAGTCAGCCCCACGGCCTCAGGCTGCCCCGGTAACCCTTCCGACCCATACACTACTAGTCTAACAGACAAACGAGAAAAAAAACTTCACCGCAGCACTCCACAGTTCAAGAAAAAGAACGTTCGAGTCGTTTACCATTATTCATAGAAATTTCTGCCGACCGACTTTTCGTCATTGACATGAGATAATGATCTAGGACTGATAGGAATCGTCTATACAGTGTCCCTTTCGAGTTTCTTCAATATGTATCGTAGCGGAACGCCACACAAAAGTAAAATCCCATATGTTGTCGAGTACTCCGTACGTAGTAAGTAAATCTTTGTTCATGCGTTCAAGCGCTGGGCTGCTGGGCCAGGCCTCACGGTCGCTGCTTATTTCCCACTCTTATCTTCATGTGGTGGGTCCAACGATTTCTGCCTCTGTCTCGAGTTCCAATTCAGTGTCTTCGAGATCGTGTGTACCCAGTCGTCACCTCGTCGGCCCTTGGGCAGGACGTTGGCGAATGGGTATCGTGATGCAGATACGGTCACGTAGTCTCCGGGATGTAATTCAATCCTATATACAATGTTAGTCAATTGGCCCAGGAGCCCTCGCACTCGCCTGCAGGACACACCTTTCTCTGCCATCAAAACTTGCCCACGAACTAGCCCGGGCATCGTACGGCACGCCCATGCGAAGGACGATGGTGTCTGGTAGTATGATAGGTCGAAACGATAGTGTATGCGCGCAGATTGCGGTCACCAGTATGACCGGGTTATCCGGGTGCGATAGAGAACCCCCAGCTGCGAGGTTGTACGCAGTTGATCCGGTGGGCGTAGCTATACAGACGCCATCGGCGAGAAGGGTGGTGAAGTGCTCGTCGTCGCCGAACAGCTCGATCGAGGACATTGCTAGCCAACAATCCCGTCAGCAGATGATCCCGGTAGTTAACCATCAGAATCGTAGTGAAACATACTCCCATTGGGCCCCCGATCCAGGACAACATCGTTCAATATTTGCAAGACCTTGTCCGGCCTATGGGTCAGCGTATCCTCGGCCTCTTCCCCGATCAACTCTTCCACCAGATCCCGCTTGCGGGCGTTCGCCGGCGAGCCGTCCGGTAGCGGGTTACTCCTCATGATCGTGCATTCGAATCGCAGCCGCAGGTTGACCACGACGCCCTCCTTGAAGGCGGTGGTCAGGGTGTTCTGGTAGTCGTTGAAGTCGAACTTGGTCAGGAAGCCCAGCGACCCCAGGGAGAAGGACAGCACGGGGGGCACGACGTGCTGGAACAGCCAGCTGGTGAACAGCACCGTGCCGTCGCCGCCCAACGTGATGACGAAATCGAGCAGGTGCGCGCGCTCCGCGGCGAGGTCGTGGTCCCAGAACTTGAGGCGATGCCGCGCCGAGGGTTCGTCGCGGAGCAGCTGCGCCGCGCCAAACTCCGGGTCCGACTCCAGGCGCTTCTCCACGTAGACGGTATACGGCGTGTCGCGCTCCTGGGACAGGAGCCAGCGGGCGACCTGCCGCGTCGAGCCGATGACCGACTGGTCGCCGGCCTTGGTCACCAGGAACACGGTCCTGACCGTGAGCCGGAGCTTGACACTGTCCAGCTTCTTCGACAGCTTGCGCACGTTCCACGCCATGTCCGAGAGCTGCTTCTTGGTCAGATGGCGCGACTGCATCATGGCCTTCTCGGCCACCGTCATGTCGTTCCCGCTGCTGTCGTCGTCGTCCGCCGCGCCCTCCTCGTTCAACGCCTCGTTGTCCTTGGCCGTGTAGCCCTTGACCTCTTTGATCCGGTTAGTCGGGTCTCCCCATTCGCCCGCGATCAGTGAATGTACGAAGCATGCCGTGGTTTCATCTGGGAACGAGAGGTTGGGGCGGGTGTTGGGGTCGTCCGCCATGACCAGGGACGACTTGCGGCGATGGCTGGACTCGGGGTATAGTACAACCTGACATTTGTCACATACGGTCAGCTCTGCTCGCTTTCAATTGAGATGGAAGAGCGTGACTGAAACAATACCTCCAACTGATTCGGATCGTCCATCTCGCCATCTACCCCTCCGTCCTGCATTGAAATCAGTTTCCCTGTGGCGTGTTCTCTCAGCCATTGAAGAACGTACAGCACCACCTTGCTTCGGACTCAAATCCATCAACTCTGTTCAAAAGAAGCCTTTTCGTGAGACTCGAGCGGGCGGTTGGTTGTTTTGAGACTGGAGAGTCTGTCAATACCGGGAGTCGACTGATGTCGAAGTTCGAGGGTCGCGATCGGAATCGGAGTAGCTGCGGGCTATGACGTCGTTGCACCATTCCGGCGAACACCTCACTACTACGCGACCGAAAACATGGTTTATGCTGGATAGCCATGAGAATTAGGTGGTGAAACTGTAGTCTAGCGCCGTGTATAGCATCTGTGATGGAGCCAGTGGAGACATGGACGCTTTTTGTCGGAATGTATAGTGTCTCCATGTCAGATCGCGAAGTCCGTGCTGGGCATTTCTCTGGTTGAACGATATATATTTTCTGACACCGGGTGGCTCCGCATGGGGTTTGGGGTATGTGCATCGATTGTCCTCCACCAACAATTATGCTCAACCACAACTTGAACACTTCAAATTCCAAGCTCGAATACCATAGTTTAACCAAGTCCCTAGCGTCGAAAGATCAACCATGACCCCGGCTACAAGCATTATCACCAGACCCCAATAATCCCATCCCAAGAGTCACACCCGGGCAGTTCTCATTGTATCCTTGCAGGATACATAGATAGGACAAACAAACGAGCCAACCATTCTCTTCGTACAGTACAAAAAGCCTCAAACACAAACTGAGAGGCAGGACCCTGCAGCATGGACCATTAAGCCTTCGAAATAGCTCAACCCAGCAAGCTCTGCCGGCATCTCACGTTACACATTTACACATCAGAAAGAGTGAGACCTTGCTCCTACTGCGTGACCAAGTAGATAGCCGAGTGCACAATCACAACTCCATCAACCACTTACCTATGACCCCGGGGAACAGTACCTAGGCTGGCTGGTCAAGATAATCGCAAGCTCTCGGCAGCTGGACGGGGAACTTAACCTGGTGCGAACCGCCCGTTATAATTAGAACACGAGGCTATCGTCGATAGGATCTCGGCCTTTACTTGGTACATTCAACATACACACCAGATATACAATTACGCATACCCGTATATAGTAACATTAGAAAGTCCACGTAACGCCAGAGACGCGCATACTGTCTCACGTTGATGGGATTCAATTGCTCCGCTCTCCGAGGCGGAACAGACTACAGAGTTTATGGTGATGCCTAAAGAGATCCATCCAATTGTTTCGAACACAGGCGGGAAAACGGATACGGGACGAGCAAGGCAGGAAGGCAGGCAGTGCCGGATCCATGATGGAGAAGAGAATGGGATCGAGCCAAGGTGGGTATGGATGGCCCAAGGGAAAAGGAGGAGAAGGAAGGGAGTAGAATGGATGGAAGGATGCGAACTTGCGAAGATACTCTAGGAAGAAGTTGCCACTTGAACCACATGGTGATCAATGCAGTCCGTTCACAGCATAACTCCACTCGTTCCCCCCTCCCTTCCCTCGTCTCTTCCGAATGATAATGACCTTCAGTAGGTATACTGGGTTCCTGACGTATAGGGAAAGTTGCTGAGTATCTACTGCGTAGTTAGGCAGTGTCTGGGTTGTGTCATCATCCGTATCACCATGGGATCTGCAGGGAGCCGAACAGATTCCAGCCACACAGCCTGACCGAGACAAGACACGAGAATGGAAATTGATGGATCGATCGTTTGTTGCAACGTCTTCCTTCCCCAAATCACCTGTACTGTAGGCCATTAGATTCAAGCACACGGAACATGGCCTAATCCACCGAGCGTTGCCCGGGGCTCTCTCGGGGCTCCAAGGAATGGGCTTGAACCTGGGAAGTCGTCATGAGAAGAAGGACACAGCATCAACAAGAAACGCGAACATCCTTGAGCCTTTGTGCCCTTAGGGAAGGTTCAATAAACTCCCTCCAAAGCAAGACAAAGGTTCAAGATCTAGCCCTGGGCGGAGCGGTCCAAAGCCACGGTCAGCCACTTCCCTTACTAGACTATAGACAGACTTCTGCTCTCAGTTTAATGTTTAAAAATGTTGAATAAATTTAAAAACAATTCACCGAGTGAAAAGAGAATAGTGTTAGAATGATCATCACCACCGACAACGTGCCATGTTGCCAGCCACCGAATAATCCGGGATCCACTGCCCTAAAACAATCACTAGACTACCTAAGTGTAAGTTTACTTTGCTTGACTTTGCTTTGCGGCATTGCTGCTTTTTTACTCGTGACTCCCGCGGCTCCCGTGTGATTTCATTTGCCCCTCATTCGTTTAGTTACACTTTACAGATGAGAAGAGATGGAGGATTACCGATTACCAGGGTGTTGACCTTTAATCTACCAACTTATCGTACCGACAAAGTCACTAGTGAAACTTGACATTTCTTTTTTTTTTTTTTTTTTTCACCCCCTCCCACTCTCTACAACCGGATCCGTTCAATGGGAACAAGACAAAGGACCAGGATTAGATCAGGGAGTGAGGAGGTGATGAACCCTCGTCGGTTCCTCTCCCTCTCGGACGTGTCTCGTTCCATATTTCTTCGCTTTTAGGCGGGGACCGCCAGTCGCTTGCTTGTTTCCCCAGAAGCGGCGGCAGCGAAACGATCAATCAATCAGTCACCAAGAAGTCCTAGACGAGTGGACCACTGGTAGGAAGCGGGACGCGTAGTCAGCCATGTGGCTTTCCGAACTCCAGTCGCCGATGGAATCCGGTTGCCCATGCGATGATGGACCGGTTCGAAAGATCCTCCAGGGAAAAGGAGAGAAGGAAGTCCTCCGTAGTAAGAATCGGCTAAAGCCTCGAAAAACACAGCCCACGCCAAAGGTTAATCCGAGTCGAAGTGGAGGTGACTGAGTGACATGGACCTCGGAAGTGGAACAGGCTGCGTGCGGTGTGAGAGAAAGGCTTGCCAGAGACTCGAGAGCGAGTCTGAAATCCAAGGATTGAGAAAGTCTCCAGTGCAGCGCATGAACTCCGGGCCGGACTAAGCGGAGAGAGAGAGAGAGAGAGAGAGAGAGTTGAGAGACATCCATCCATCTCCTCCGTATCGTCAAACACTTTACCGCTCCCGGTAGGTTATTGGGCTTTACCGCCAGACCAAAGTGTCCTTCTCGTTGCTGACGAGCCGACTATCCGTAACCATCCAAGCCCCCCTCCTCCTCCTCCCCCCGAACTAGGCTGAGATACAGATCCCATGGCAAGACTGGCTGGCTCTGTGATAAAGTGGACTTGCCCCTCCCCAGTTTTGACAAGATGGTGGTGGATGATGATGGGCTGGCGCATTATTTGCTCAATGGAACACACTAGGCTGGCCCACCATAACGGTCAGACACCTTACCTACAAATAGACAGTCACTATTGGTAGTTAGTCGCTCCAAGGAGTGGAGCCTGATCATAGAGTCCATGTTATCGAACCCCGTCGTATGCCGATGGAGAATAATTACTCGCAAATGAGGGTCTGAGAATCCGACTGATGGGCGCTGACGGGGGGAGATGGGGAATCGGGGGGCAAATTTCAAGCGAAAGAGGAAAATTAAACCTCAGCTAATTTCCCCCTCGTTCTGCGGTGTACGGGAGTACAGGAGCTTAGTAAAACGCAAGATTTTCGCTGCGGCAAACGGGGAACGGGGGGAAGGAGACACAGGAGAGAGTATGCCGTAAGTAAGTTCGATTCCCCACTTCGATCTGCCGTGACAATGCAGCCAGGATCTTAAGCAGCAGCAGCTCGCGTTGCTCAACAGCAGCAAAAACCACAAGAAGGTCTCCTATTCCAGTTTCCCGCCCTGTGACTTGGTTGCCTATTTGGGTAATACATTGGTGGGACCGCGGCGACTATCATCGACCGTAGTCGGGCCACGGTGCGTCGGGTCTGGTGCGATTTACGGCCGATCCTTAAATAGTGATCTGTCAATGTGGGTGTGGGTGTGTTTTCCACTTTTGCCTCCTCTGGTTTGTTTCTGCTGCGCCCGTCCCCATTTTGCGGTTGCCCTGCAATGGCAGGCACGTCGCTAGCATCGTGTTCTCTGGATCCGCTGAATCAAAATATGGGTTCCATTCCCACCCACTGCAGTGGCCTCAGGGCTTCTATTGGGACGGCTGACTAGATCCGGCTTGCTGCCAGAGACACTTGGGAGTGAAACGACCAGGCGCCCTCCTATCCCTAGACCACTTTGCGGGGGGGGGGGGGGGTTGTATCGCGTAAGGTAACCATCTGCGGAGACATTGTCACGGCAAGTGTGACGACGATGATACATCAGGGCCCAGGGAGAGGAGGTGACCGTGGTGCAGTGGTGAAAGTGATGATGATGGTGACTTGAGCTTCAAGCCCCTCTTGAGGGGCAACTAGGCTGGAGCACCCGCCCTTGGTTAAGGCAATGTGCACCGGTTCAAGGCTGTTCCTGGGTTAGTTCAATACTAAGTAATCAATTGCATAGTACGGAGTCGGCTCTACTCAATCCTCAACCGGTCAGGTGGTCTCCGCAATCCACTGCCTCTGCAAGACTGCATACTCCCCTTGTCCGCATCAATTTCTGCATGGCTGACACAGTCACACACTGGAAGTGAATGGTGGCCTGATAGCCAGTCCACCCCCGCCCCTTCATACATATAATGCACCCATTTTTGGTACCTTAGACGAGATCAGTCATGATTTAATCCTGGCATAGTCTCCTGGGGACTCAACCAGGTACTGCACCTGGTAAGGTTCCAGACTCCCCTCCCCGGCAGTATGGAACATTCATTGGCTGCACCTTACTGGCCCGATGACATGTAGGACAAAGCTAAGCTCTGACCACATTCTGTGTGACCTCGAGTCCTGGGGACCCTGCTTAGCTAGATCGGAACAATGCAACAATGTTAACTAATCAATAGTAAGAATGCTGCAGCCATCATGGCGCCGACTTATGTAGTAATGATGGTCAGGCGTCCAGTGTGAGAACGTACTGTACATATATTACATTCAGACCACTGTCGATCATATGTGCTGTACGGAGCTGTACCATACACCACCTAGTACCTACCTACCCTGGAGTATGTGGTTGCGTCGTCTGAAGACAAAGGGGCTCTTCTCTTGGTGAGACAACGGAGGGGGAGGGGATTGACCTGTCTGGTCTTTTTTCTTTATGGAGGATCGCAGTCAGCCTGCCATCGGGCATAATTCCACTCCTACTTCTTTTCCTCTCCTTGAACATAATTCGCTGAGCGGAAAACACCTTATTCTGGGCCCCGTACATGCATGCATGCATGGACTATGTATGTATGTATGCCATTCGACTCATGGCAACCTGCAGATAACTGCCTTTCGTAGTAGCCTTTCTCACCTGGAACTCTTGAAGGTACCTTAAAAGCTGATAATCGATTATTGCTTGTCTTGTCGGGGGGCTGATGGTACTTTGATGGCTCTCAAAGACATCCAGCTTATAGTCTTTATGCTGGTCCATATGACTTGCAAAGTCCGAAGTCCGAGCAGAGGCGCCAGACAGCCCTAGTCTCCTGGTGTGCTGCACCTTATCGCTGGAGGCATCCTATCCAGAAATGACCCACTTGAGCGGTACATTGGGGGCTCCCTACGTAATCAGAGAGAGCCAGGCAGTTAATTGAGAGTCATTTATGCGTATATGCCGATTTCAGACATCGTGGCGTCGGCCATGGCTTGCGGTCGGCTACTGTTTCTCAGTTCAGGACGATGAGTTTAGTCTCTACACTGGCATAGGACCTTTTCAAGAGCCGAAGGCAGCAGCAACAGGATTGTTGAATCCAGTGGGCTGTGTCATTGAGGAGATGGCGAGGATTTGATTAGCTTCGAGTACTAGTACGGTCGAGTTCATCACGAGAGCAAGCAAAGTGTTCATGGACGGTGCAGGTTGCTGTGGTGTCACGATCGACCCAACCATAACGCTGCAGTCATTGATCTGAGCTCGAGCTGCAGCCCCATGCATGAGCCTCTTGGTCTCCCTCGTTTGACGAGGCAAGGTAGTCGCAGAGAGGCTTGAATGCCGACTGAACCTGACAACCAACACATTGCAGTATGCGAGGCTCTGGGAATAGCAACCAGTAATCTCGCATCCTGTGCTGGCATTGTAAATAGTGTATCAGATATACAGCAGGGCCTTTCATGTCACACAGATAGGCAAGTTTGTTTACCGCTCTGAATGTGTATTTCGCTTGTCCAGTGGAAGGGCGCTCGGGCCTGATACGAAACTACTATAGTTGATGGCTTGTGCTACTATAGATTATAGTACGTAGCAGCAATAAACAAATAAACGCGCAAACAACCGAGGCGACGAAGCTAAGACCTTTTATCTCACTGTTGTGACTCGTGGTGAGAGGAGTGATGAAAGACGACGAATGACCCGCCAAACCGTGAACTTCGTGTCCTACTTGCGATACAGGTCAATCAGTTGGTTGTTGGTCGATCCTGCCAGGGTTACTCCATACAGCATTTAGTTCTGTTTCCCGGGCGGCGACCGCTACTTTGCTGGTTTCTGAATCGAGCCGAGTACATGAATCAGGCGTCGGTCGGATTATGGAGAAGCTAGGGCACCATGCAAATGGACTCATTGTTGATTGACCCCAGTGTTTGTTTCAGGAGCAGAGTCTTGAGACCAGTAGCACAGCAGAATGCCTGCCTGCCTTCTGATCGAATTATCCGAGAGTCGATATTTCGGGCGACTATCCCCATAGCTCCATAGCTAATCCTCGCCACCGTGATAGCCGCCATTTGATTGAGGAGAGCAGCGTCACAGAGCTCGGATCTCGACAAAGGAAAGGTCGACTGTGCAGCAGATCGATAAAGATTGGCATGGCATCCTTCTCCACACTTGATATTCGCCTGCGTCTTACCAATCATGAGCATATGGTCGCAGCAACGTCCGCAAAGATGGTCATTTACGGTACCTTCTACCTTCAAGAATGATCCGCCCCCTCTTGGCTGCTTGAAACCAAAGCACTACCGGTCAGTTACCCAGTGCTATGAGTTTTTCTCAGTAAGCGCCAAAAGCATGGACAATCAACGCCAACGCAGGGCTGTAGTTGTTGCGCCCAATCTTTAGTCTCCAGACTGCGCTGGACTGTCTGCAATAGCGGAGTAGCGGGTCTTCTGTCGGTAATGATCAGCATGGTCGATGAAGTACTCATTGAGTGCAACACGCCAGTCTCGAGTAACTCATCATACACTCTTCACTAACTGCATAGAGTATACCACAGGTCTTGCGCTGAGGTGAGCTGACTCGTTGAACTCCCCTGCTTGTACCCCGTACACCTTTACAAGTAATATCAAGTAGGGAATGCGGAATGCTCTACAGAAAACTGACCAGAAGCGCTATGAGGTACGGTACACAGTACTACTGTATACTTACGTATACCCCGAAGCGACAGCCAAGGGATCCCTACTACAGTGAGAGTCCCGAGTTGGTACTGATACATGGGCCTCCGGTCTAGTCTAGGCTGGATCACGTTAGCTATCTGACTAATTCCCATCCGTTTTCAGCAAAACTCATTAACACGGCGGGGGAAAAAAAAGTCAGCTAAGTCAGCTGCAACACTTAGGAAACCCCGGCCGACTGCCGCGGTGAGGACGGAGATTCGGAGACAGACGAGAGATCCACTTGCACTTGCACTAAAATGGCTTCATTTCTCAACCTCGGCCATTTTTTCTTCCCTTTCTCATTTTTTAATTGCTGTGGGAATTTCCCTTTTTGCCCCTCTAAGCCCCATCCGCGAGAAAACAAAGCTGACCCCTGACCTTCTGGAATCTTGTTCGTCTCTTTTGCTTCCCTCTTTGCACCGTCCGTCCCCTGCAGTCGAGTGGGCCCTGCACATGAGCTCCGATGGCCCCTCCTATAATCTCCGGCCTCTGATTTGTAGTCACAGCTAGGTGATGATCTCAATTGTCCGATCACTTGCGTTCAATGATATGATGTAGTCTAGTCTAGATTACAATCGCCCAATCCGTCGCACGGAGGTTTTTCTTTGTCTTTTTTTTTTTTTCTTTCTTTTCTTTTCTTTTCTTTGCGTTGAATATCATTCTCTGGGGGCCTTTCATTCGGCCGTTTACTTCTTTCTACCTTAGCTCCAGCCCAGGTAAAGTGACTAAACCCGTTGGCCTCTCTCCCCGGGGAGCTGGGCTGAGGACATGGGTTCGGAACAGGGACAGGTTCCAACCACAGATCACAGCTTGTGCTTCACCCTGGCCTTGAAAAGGCCCTTCTCAGGAATCTCGGTTGAAGGTCGATGATGTGGTTACACCAAGCTGATCACCGGTCATGAAATGCGGATTGCTTCCTCTTGATTACTAGCGGGAAGGTCTATTCCCCATCACCCTTTGGCCCGATGCACGCAGGGTTAGGCACTTTTGCTTCTGAAGACCAATTTTCCAGGCAGAGGGTCGGAAACGAAAAACAAAAACGGGGTGACTTGAAAATAGAAAAGAGAAAACAAGAAAAAAGCCGGAATCGGCTACCTGGCCCTTCAAGTTCAGCCTTCAAGTTCCAGTTCCTGTACCTGGGCTCTGGACGGGGGTCTTCCCGGGCTCTAAACTGGAAGTGGTCAAGCTCCGTTGAAAATCCGTCCTAGTCCGGTATCAACCCTTGTTCTGGAAATGGCCTCCATCGGCTCATCCTCGCCGTGTGTAAGCACTACAACTCTACATATAGTAGTGCTGTACAACTAATCAATGGAATAATCCTCCCCCGCCCCCTTCTGTTCAAGGTTCATATATCGAGGTCAAACTAATTATCGCTCATCGGCGGATGAACATTGGACCCAAACTGTGATTAATACATAGCGTGGCAGTCACTTGCACGGAGACTTCATTGCGGGGCGTGCAGCCGCGGAAACTCGTCATAATGGGATGGCGGCAGCGTACGGAGTACTCCATCTGTACATACACAGACAATGAACAGCTAAGCTATGATTAGTGTCAGTCAGTTTGACTGGTCACACAGCCCTATTCCCTTTCCTCTAGATCTCATCATCACCATCACCTACCTCCTCGACCATTTTCGCAGGGGTGGGAGGGAGGAAGTGGGTTAAGCAATCTTTGATTGAAGTTATGCCAGAATGTTGTCATCCTTCATTGCCGAAGTTCCCGCTCTCTCCAGGCTCTCTCTACCGTACGCCTTTTGGGCCCCGCCGCCGCCCTTTCCCTTCCTTCCCTTCCAGTTGCAAAGTTTGCCCTCTCCTTCAGTACCAAGTACGTTACTCCCGTCATTCTTTCGGTGAAGGTATTTTGAGTGTCCCCCCAAACCTAACCCAAGACAAAAAAATCGGCGGGTTTATCAAGTTGCTTTTGGCTTTTCCTTTTTTTTCTTTTTTTTTTTTTTTCTGGCGCATCTTTACTCAGTACAAACCCGCCGATCGAATCCATCCCACATTTCTTCTTTCCTCCTCGTCTCAGTGCACACATTTCGGCATGAGATGGGTAGGGTGAGTTACTGTAACTACTGTAACTACTTCTCTATACATGTGATCTGCAGCTCGACAATGCGAAGTGTACAGTACGCACATGAAACCCACCGTATTAACCATAGGCACTCAGAAGTCATACTATGGGTAAATAACTCCGTAGGTAAAAAGGTTACAGAACCGAAAACAGTAAAAAACCGTAGGTGGGCTGGCTCAGGGCTTTTGTTTCTGTGAATGTCAAGGTGATAAGCTGGGGCACCCCCCTCCGATTCTTGGTTCTTGGCATCTTGTTATCGGGTTTCTTTGATCGATGGATGGAAAACCGGTGACTATCTACGAGTATATACGACAGTACAGTACCCCGTACTTCGTACGGAGACTCTGTAGTCAATATCCCGGACCGGAATGAGAGACTCAGAAATCGCCCCCTCGTGTCCCGCCTGGTTCCCCCTAAGATAGCTTGGTTGTGTTTAGGTCCCAACTATCCCAACTAGTGGGGAGGTGTGGCATCCGGGTGGGTGAATCTTGCTGAATGCGTTATGTGAGATGGGTTGGTGTTGGTGATAGTCGTTGTCGTAGTTGTGTATTATTAGTCGTAGTCTAGAGACATATACGAATACTCTGAGTCGCTGATCCAGACTATCGTCTACCGAGACGACGGATTCGGTTGGCCAGGAATAGTTGTTGCAACACCTATCTACAAATAAAACTACATAGTACGTAAAAGCCTAAAATATGGCCCCTCCCCGGATGGAGTCAAGTCAATGTGCAGTGCGCCCGGTGATGCCGATGACAAGGCCAACAAACGGAACGGAACGGTCGGGCTTTCCATTTGAAGTGTGTGCACGTCCAATTAGGTTGAGTAGTACGTACTGTACGTAACTCTTGTTGCGGGCTGAACCAAGGCAGTGAGACTGCCGGAGGTAACAAGGTGTTGCTGCTTGCTTGCTGCTTGCTGCTGATAGTATGAGCAAGTGCCGAGGAGTGATTAGTCCAAGGCTCGGTTACGAGTGTGTCTGGACCCAGGCAGTTATTGTAACCCTTGCGTAACGGGCGTTGTGACGCGTTGGAAACGGTGAACTTGTGGGGACTCAAACGAGACGGCAAGTCAAGAAGGGAGATTACTTGCGAGTATCGACAAGAAAAGCACGAGAGGATGGATGAAGGGGGAGAGGGAGGGGGGGGGAGGAAGAAGGAGCATGTGTAAGTTATTGAGAAGTAATCAATGTAATACAGATTGTGGAGTTTAGTGCACCGAAGGTTCGCTCGAGTCTCGACAGAGACAGAGTTGCAGAGTTGGAAGGGGGCACGGGGTTAGTTAGTTAGACTACTCGTTAGTACTCCATAGTTACGGAAACGTTGTGACCAAAAAAGGTGTTGGCCTGTTGGCTTGTTGGCCCGCCACAGGGTTTGTTAGTGATTGATGATGATGTTGATCGGGTCGGATCGTGGGTCATTCGCCGCTAAGGTTGCCAACTCGAGGCATTGAATTCCTTCAATGGGTGACTAAGACGTTGATTGACCTTCAATTCCTGCTCCTCCGGCGCCTGGAGTGATTGGATGGTCGAACCGTCCTACGCACTGATAGTCTGACTTGGAAAGGGAGGCTTGAGGGCAGTAGATAGGTGTTAGCTCGTCGCGGTCCCTGCTAGGCAGACAGTTAATATGAGCCAATGCAGGCCCGAGACAGGCCCTCATCTATCTATCCCTGGTTGTGAGACGAGATTGCAGCTGAGCTGAGCATCCGTTCGGCATTGCACGGAGGACACGATGATGATGTTGATGAGGGGAAGGGCGCGAAGTAAGTTAGAAGGGGCATGTCATCAAGGATCGCTGGGGTGCGTAATCAATCAACCGACCAACTATCGACCGTATCACAGTTAGTACTGTCCCAGTCAGTACTGGACATTACACGGCAGCACTACCCCATACTAGCTACCGCAGCAGTAGCAGCATTCTGTAACGGGGTTTGGGCGACTGAGTCTCTGCCGATGTAACAGCTCACACACATGATTCCTACTGCGTGAGTATCCAATCCTCGCTTCCAATACCGGACAAAAGAGGAGTCAAGGAGGAGGAGGAGAAGAAGAAGAAGAAGGAGAAGGAGGCAGCGATGCAGGCTGCTGATGATCCATTACTCGTGAGTTGCAGGTGTACACTGTATGGTAAGGTAACTGCGTCCTCCGTACGGGAATCATCTACGAGTAAGTAGTGTGTGGCTTGCTCAATTTAGCCCCAGACTGACTGCTTGACTGTCTGTCTTGCCAGTCTCGGGCTTGCCTTACTCTCTTACTCTCCCTCCCAAGTCTAGTTTGGTTTAGTTTCGGCATGTCCCAGACCCACCGCGCAGACTTTCTCTCCGTATCTGCTCCGTGGTAGGCCCCAGTTTCTGGTTCCTTCTTTAACTTCCATCCCGGCCATCATCTTTGCTTTGCTGCTGCTTGCTGGTGGCTTGGCTTGGATCCTCTGGCTAGAGTCTCTCCCCCGATTCCAGTTTCCTATCCAATGATGATCATCTGTCTGTGCCCCGGTTTCCCATTTCCTCTCTCTTTTTTTTTTGTTTTTTTTTTTTTTGTTTTTGGCATTGCTCTGATTTAATCTATTTTCTCTTGGGTATTCCCCGTTCTTAGATGGTGGACTGCACTGCACGTCCATGACCGACCTACTAGACTAGCTACACTTACATATACTGCACTCATTCATTCACTTTACTACTGACCGGCCAACGGGTCTGATCATCCCCACTATCAACAATAAGTACTCCTCCCCACTTAAATAGTACGGAGTACACTACAGTACACGCTACCACCATCATCATCCATCGTCACCCCATTCTACCCATGGATCTGTAGTTCAAAAGTCTGTTTTGCTTTTTTATTTTCTATTTTTTTTTCTTGGATTTCTCTTTGCCTCTGAGTCAAGACAGGTAAAGTGGATCTCGACATCGTGTGGCATGGGCTCATCTGAATCACCACCAGGCTGGATCCCTTCCTTCGTTCCTTTCTTCCTGTGGTCTACCATCCTACGACTATCCCCTCCATTTTCTCCACTCATCCCATGTCTTGCCCTGGCCTGTTACTAGTCTGTTTTCGTTAGTGTCAACGTCGTGTCATCTCAGCGTGTGCCTATCCTTTTTTTTTTTCCCTTTACATTTTACGCTTTACACTTAGAGTAGTCTAGTCTACGACTTCACACCAGTCGTGGTTAGTAACCCGAATGGATCGTGGAACTGGGGCGGATGGTAGATCAAGAAATGTGCCCAAGTAAGTACATACTCACATAGGCTACGTTCCACAGCGCCATGTATCACCCATGCCTAATTTGGGTGCTTGTCCCTTTTTTTTTTTTTTTTTTTTTACTACTATGATATCCTTCACTTTCTTCTGCCTATCGCCTTATACTTCTTGGGATTGTTACCGAACAATAATCAATCTAAGGGACTGGAACTGGCCTAACCTTAGTACGCACGCACGCACGCACGCACTTGCTTCCCGTACCTTGCCTCAACGCCTTGTGACCCTCACGCCCCCTGTGTCATCTGTGGATGTTAAGTCTCGAACCCCAGTCTATCATTTCGGAGATCCTTCTTACTGCTTCCTGCAGTCATCCATGGGTCCTATCCCGTATTGGATACTCATATAAGCGGAGATCCTCTTCTCCCAAGCCCCCCATCCTGCCTTCCCTATATTTATGAATGTTCATGCCCACTATCCACCACCTCTTTAACCTCAACCTCAACCTCAACCTCACTCTCACCCTCATTCTCTCTCTTGAACACCACCTCTTCTCAGGCCCATACCTATCCTTCTTTCACTCTACCGCCCACACATATCCCCAATGGCCAATTGCTGGCAACCTCAAGCCTCATTCGTCGACCCAGCCTGGGCTTCCAACAACCAGCCATGCATGCGTTCTTCGACCTTCCGCGACATGATCCATGCCTTCCCTAGGCCAAAGCAGACCGGACGGGTGACCAAGCCCCGGAGTGCCGGCAACAGTCCTGCTTCTGCTGGCAGACGGAGGACGACGACCATGCCTCACAGCTCGACCATGTACCCTGGCTACCAAGCCCCATTCAACCCTGCCGCTTTGGCATCCGCCTTCTCCAGGAGTAGTCGCAACCGGCCGATGAGCTGGCATCCAGTCATGGACCCGTCCACCTTCCCGACGGACCCGTACTTCGCGAACTCGACCACTCTGGACAGCCTTGCCGCCGTGGGCATGTGCCCTCAGCCACTCCCCACCGCCCCCGCTGTCCTCGAAGGCAACGACATGCTGTCCTCGTACGCCAATGGGCTTCCTTTCTTCGCTGGCGTGCAAAATCAATTGCCGCTTCACCAGTCCGCCTTTGTCCAAGAGGACCCCGTCTCCTGGGAGACAAGTAACTCGACGATGCCCGCCATGACTGAGCCCATGTCGGACTGCTGGTCATTCGACATGGCTTCCATGCACAACAGCATGCCCTCCGCCTACGTCGCTGACTCCACCTATGACGAGAGTGTGCCATCCTCAGGATGCCTGACAGGCCCGGCCACCCCTCAGTTTCTTCCCATCCAGCGTCCGGACGACAATCTGACCGCCAAGTCCAACCCGGAAGACGAACTCGTTGGCATGGGCCTGTATAGCAACCCCGACGCATTGAGTGAGACCTCGCTCCTGGGTCTGTCTGGCAAGGGCTTGAAGTTGGAAGAGACATTCACTCCCTCAGCAAACAACGCGGAGGACAAAGACAATGACGATGACGACGATGAAGACGACGACGATGACGCCCCTCAAGAGCAGGATGAGCAGGATGAGCAGGATGAGGCCGCCTTCTCCAGCTGCGCGGCTCCAAACGCGACGCAGCCCCAACCCCACGTCGGTCAGCAGCCCGTCAAACCCGCCGCGAACATGATGCACAAATCATTCTTCTTCGAGGATGACTTCGAGCCACATGCGATTGTCGGATCTCAGCCGCTCATCAACATGGCTAGCCAGCCCTGCGTCAATTACGGCTATGGCTGGATTTGATTTTTCGGGAACGCATTCATCCGCCTGTAACTTTTTTATGAATCCTGTATTCGCTATTCAGCATTGCATAGCGTGGAGTTGTGTATTTTTGTTGTTTGTTTGGGTTCGGACGGCGTTTTACATGTACCAAATACCCTGGGATGGCTGATTGGAACTACCTTATTCCCTTCTTTTATGATGACTACCTTATGTATTAGAGAACCCTTGGATGTTGTAACACCAATGAATGAAGACATCCTCAGGGATGGCATATATGATGGACCATGATGATCAATGAGTGTCAAGTAATTCGTTGTTCGGTAGACATAAGGAGGAAAAGGGAGTAGGCACTAGTAGTTGGTCAGTTGGCAGTTGGGAAGAGACAGCCAGACGCGGACGGTGAGAACCGAACCCCCCGTCGGCTGGAAAAACCTTTCCGCCGTCAAATAAAATCACCGCGGCCTTTGATATGTAGACGACCAGGTCTAGATTCAAGGTCAATTAACCCGTCGCAAAAGAAGGGAGAAACCTTGGTGTACTGTACGAGCTGAGTGAAACTCTCTCACTTTGACTTGAGCCACCAAGGATTTTCCGGCATCATGGCCAAAGTCATCTTCACTCCGTGGAAGGAGCAATCCCAATTACTGGTGGTGCGGAATCAATTCTACCCTCCGCCGCTATACGATGGGCCCGACATGCGATCCAGGGCCTGCGCCACAGTAAGTTCCATCGCGTAGCTCCCCAAAAGCCAGCCCCCATTCACATCCTTTTTTTATGTTGAGAATCTAAACAAAAAAGAGAGGAGCCAAAGCTAACTCCGATTTCTAGGTTAGCGCATGGAAGTTGCGAGGCAACCTCCCCCATCCCGTCGAGGCGACCGCCTTGTTAACGGATGCGATTCTCCATGATGATGCGCAGAAGAACTCCATCTTCTCTATTCGCGCGACCTATGCGGCTGCTTTTTGTCGGTATGTGTCTCCATTTTCCTTTTGGTGTGTTTTTCTGGAGGGAATCTTGCATGCGGAGAAGCTTGAGCTGTTTGTGTTCTCTCTCTCCACAAGTAATCTTTTTTTTTTCTGTTTTCTGTGTCTTTCTGTACCTAATCCCTGTGAAATGGTGACTAACGCTTCCCCCAGCTTCGTAACGGGCCTCGTCGACTCCAAGCTCGGCGGTGTCCGCCGGACCATGTTCCAGCGCGCCCTGGACCTGGGGCTCCCCGCCTCGTTCGTGGAGCTGCGGCACGAGGCCACGCACCGCGAGCTCCCGTCGCTGACGGTGCTGCGCAACGCGTCGCAGCGGTCCCTGGAGTGGCTGTGGGATTATTACTGGGTCAAGACCGAGGCGTCTGTTCCGGGCTTGGGGGTTGTAAGAGCCCCTGTTAGTGGAGTGCCAGAGAAGCTTATTGCGGAAGGGGAAGGCGCCGAGCCAGAAGAAGAGGAGGAAGCTGATCTCGAGCCGCTCAAGTCGGCGTTTCGGGACACTCTGGAGCAGATTGTCGCGGATGGAGAGCAGCAGCAGCAACCTCCGCGGAAGAAACGCAAGGTCCAGCAGCATTTGAATGCCGTTGCCGGTGAGGTGGTGTCGACGTGTCGGTCGTCGGGGCGCGGGGTGGCCGCTTTAGCGAGTGTGCTGGTGCAGGATTCGTTGTTGGTTCCGGGAGGGAGGAGGTGAGTTTTTCATTCTTTCTTACGCGATGGGGGTGGGGGGTACTGATTCGGGTCTACAGGATGGGAGAGGCAATGGCTGCTCAGTTCGACAGATGGGATCCGTTATTGCAGATGGTTGCAGATGCGCAGCCTACGTTTCTGTCGAGTCTAACGGAGGAGCTAGCGAATGCGCTGGCGTTCACGACGCGGCCGGATCAGGCGAAGACGGATCCCCGCTGTGAGGGTGCCTATTTGTGGCTGGACCACATCTTGGGTTCGGCGCAGTGGGAGTCGCGGAGACGGCTGGTCTCGTATGCGTATATGCTGGCGGTGTGTGAGCAAGTTGCGAACCATTGGACGGATCTGCTGAAGGAGAGGCTGGCGGAGAGACAGAACGAGGCAGCGCCGTCGGCTGATGGCGAGGGCTCAGGGCGCATGACGAGGTCTGCTGCGACGACGCGGAAGCTGGTGCACAACCAGGATGTTTTGTACTCGTTGAAGAGGTCTGGCATCAAGTCAATGGGATATTAAGAAACCGGACCTTGGGAAGAACTGTATAGACAGATAGATATCTTATTCCATTGAGCTTGTGGCGGACTTGCCATGAAGAGTGTTACTTGGTTATGAAATAAATGTCAATATTCACCTCCTGCCTTGATGCTTGTATACCGACTCAGCCACACGTGGCTGGAGCGGGGCCGCAGCTGGAACCGGGTTGACCTATGAGGTAATCTCCAATCACCGCTTACGGTTCTAACCCATGATGATAGATTAACAATCCCTCCCCCGCATCGCAATCAGCTGCTCGTGATAACCCGGTGCTGCCAACCCCTCATGTCCTTAAACTTCACGAGAACGATCTTCTCAGCTGCCAGACTCCGTCCTTTGAGGTTCATTGCACCCCCCTCCTCCAGAGCCATGCATATCCAATCGATTCCGATGTGTAGGTCTACCCAGATGTTTACACCTCTTCTGCTGTGTATACCTGCTGATTTCCCGCGATAGGGACCGGGAAGGGCAACAATTATGCCTACCTGGTCACCGACGAGCCCACCAAGCAGTCGGTCATCATCGACCCGGCCAATCCGCCCGAGTAGGTTTTCAGTTGATGTACACGGGCAGTGTACAGTACACCCCACAGCATCGCTGACCGTGAGGTGGGCTAGGGTGACCCCCGAACTAGAATCGCAGATCAAAGCCGGCAAGATCGATCTCACGGCGATCGTCAACACTCACCAGTGAGTCGAGTCCAGTTTGTTCCAGAGCAATGCTAATGCAGCCCGCAGCCACTGGGACCATGCCGGCGGCAACAACGAGCTGGTCAGTTTGAGTCTACCACCAAAAACCAATCTTGTTTCCCCGGGAGTACAGACCGTGAACTAACACCCGCTCAAGCTCAAAACCTTCGGCAAGCTGACCGTCATCGGCGGCAAGGACTGCCAGTCCGTGACGCAGACGCCCGCGCACGGCGAGACCTTCCGTATCGGCGAGCGCATCGCCGTCACGGCCCTGCACACGCCCTGTCACACGCAGGATAGCATCTGCTATTTCATGCAGGATGGGGAGCAGAAGGTCGTGTTTACGGGGGATACGTTGTTCATTGGGGGTGAGTTTCCCGTCCGCCTTGATTTTCACGTTTTGGTTTTGAGGGAGTGGGGGGTTCGTGCGGGGGGTAATGAGCTCATGATTCGGTGCTGTAGGATGTGGTAGGTTCTTCGAGGGGACCGCCCCGGAGATGCATAAGGCGTTGAATGAGACGCTAGCGGCTTTGCCGGATGATACGAAGGTTTATGTACGTTTCCGTACCTTTTGTTTTTCTTCTCCTTCCGAGTCCAAGGGAAGTGAATGGAGGTAGGTATGGTGGATGAGTTGCTGACTGGCTTCAGCCGGGACATGAATACACCAAGGCCAACGTCAAGTTCTGTCTGGCGGTGTCGCAGTCCGAGCCGATCAAGCGACTGGAGGCGTTTGCGGAGGCGAATCAGGAGACGCAGGGGAAGTTCACGATTGGGGATGAGAAGGTAGGTCTTGATTTTCCATTCTGGAAGGCAAGGCTGACTTGGATGTTTGTTCTAGCTGCACAATGTTTTCATGCGCGTCAATGTAAGTTGTCTGTCTGGATGGGTTGGGAGTATGAACTAACGTCTAGTAGGACCCTGAAATCCAGAAGAAGACTGGCAAGACGGACCCGGTGGAGGTGATGGCGGCGTTGCGGGAGATGAAGAATGCCATGTAGGGTGGTGGTGGTGTGTCTGAGTGCGGTGTATCAGTATATCCTAGGAAAATGGATGGGCGATGTATAACGGGTGACGGATGTAGCGTATGGTTGACAGGTGGAAAGTGGAAGCATTGGACTGTTTCATACTAGTAACTATTTTCAAGACTGCTTGCTGTCACTCTGGCTGGTTCTTATCTTCTACCCTTCAAATCTTCATCGACATGCTATTGTCCCAGCCCAGTAACTCAGCTTCCCACGTTCCCACCGTGGACAGCAAACGACCATGCCCCGATCCAGCCAACCCCCTCTGCGCTTCAATCGCCGAAGTAATCCTCGCCGAAAGCAACGTCGCCGACCACAACCTTGCAGTGAATCCCCGCTGCCATGTTTACATACATGGCGTTGCACTCAATCATGGTGACGTCAGACGTCCGACACCACCTGCAGAGAGAGTATAGAACCAACTACCGTATAAGATAGCTTTACCTCAAGCACTGCTTCCTATACCTCCACACCCTGAACCAAGAGCTAGTCCAGTCCATCGACTACAGCAGCAGCAGCAGCAGCACAATGTCCCACCACCACGACCACCACACCCCCGAGCTCCCCGGCGACCCCCTCAGCACCAAAAGCCGGGTGCTGGAGACCGGGGCCAGCATGGTGCAGGACTTCGCGCCGGTCAAGAACATCTGCGCGCACTTGAATGCCTTCCACGTGTACGCCTCGGACAAGACGCGCTGCGTGGAGGCGAATCACTACTGTTCGCATATCACGGAGGGTGAGTCTGCCTGCCTCCCCCCCAAAAACCCAGCCCATCCCTCAACTCAACCCTACTCAAGCTCACCATCTCCCAACCCCCCAACATCCCGAACTCCCGCAAACTAACACCACCACCAAAAAAAGATATAAGACAATGCCTCCTCTACGACAGTCCCACCCCCACCGCCCGCCTGCTAGGGGTGGAATACATGATCACGCCCAAACTCTACAATAGCCTACCGCCCGAAGAACGGAAACTCTGGCACACGCACGAGTTCGAGGTCAAATCGGGGATGCTGGTGATGCCGGCGCCGGCGGGGGTGCCCCAGGCGCTCTGGGAGAAGGCTGAGACGGCCGAGATGCAGGACATCATCCCACTGTACGGCAAGACGTACCATTTCTGGCAGGTGGATCGCGGGGATGCCGTGCCGATGGGGGCGCCGGAGTTGATGGCGAGTTTTACATCCGAGGAACGCGTCAAGATTGCGAAGCCCGGGGGCATGCAGGAGTTGTGTGAAGGGAGGGATGGGAGGTTTGGGGTGGATTGGAAGCAGAAAAAGAGGGTGAGGGAGGGGTTGCAGGGGGTGGAGGGGGGGTTGCATCCTGGTGAGTTTTTTTTCCTTCTATCTGTCCATTTGGCTGGCGGAGGCTGGGAGCTGGGGACTTGGGCTAATTGTGGTTGAATAGATGCGGATGCGATGTGGGAGGATTGAGGACTGAAACGCCACCAGGAGAATGATATGATAATGAAACTTCAATTGTTCGGTTCTAACAAGAATCTACGTGATATAGAGAATTTGTCTCCCGTCGTTACCACCCAACCGCCCATTCCCATAGTTAAATGGGGTCCTGGTCGGGCTATCGTTCAGGGAAATCCCCCACCCCGTAGGGTAGGAAACTGTACAATTCATCTTGCTTCACTGTCCACACTCACGCGCTCTGGTGTTGAATTTCGGCAGCGGTGAGCTCTAGCAATTTTAGAAGCGAATTTACTTGGTAGCTGTTGCAGGTCAATGCAGCATTAAGCATGAGCCGGCATCAGCTGAGATCGGATCATGCAATTGGCAATTGATGTCAATTGAAAGAGTCCGACGCAATGGTCGAGGAGAGCATAACAGTAGAGGAGAAAAAAAAAGTCTGTGGGAGAAAACGCTACCCGCACTATATATACCCTGTCAAATCACGTGCCTTACACTCCCCTCCGCTCCGGCGCGGGACCCTCACCTGCCGCCGTACAATTAGTTACCGTAGATATACAATCGCATCAACCGTACACTGCAGTATATCCCTCCACCTCGCAAACCCACCCAGCCACCCACCTACCCACCCAGGCACCGGGCAGAGGCAGCGCAGCGCAATGGACCGCCTCCTCCGCGCCACTCTCCAACGCAGCACCCCGGCGCACGTCTTCCGCCTGACCCTCAACGGGCTGGGCCTGTTCTGCGCCTGCACGCTCGTCTGGGAGCACCTGGTGACTGTGCAGCTGAGCGAGGGCCCCTCGATGTACCCGACCTTCCAGCCGCGCGGCGACTACCTGCTAATCTCGCGCGTGCACCGCCACGGCCGCGGCGTCGCCGTCGGCGACGTCGTGCGCTTCTACCACCCCTCCTTCCTGGGGGTCAACGGCGCCAAGCGCGTGATTGGGTTGCCGGGAGATCTGGTCTGTCGGGATCTGCCGTTTAGTATGGAGGCTGGGGGGACGGGGGAGATGATTCGGGTGAGTTTTTCTGCTTTTGGGGGTAGGGGGTCTTGGGGGGTCATGGGTTCGGGCTGGATAGGTTTGGTGCTAAGCTAACGCTTCGTCCCGGTGTAGGTCCCCGAAGGACATGTCTATCTCGCCGGTGATAACCTCCCCTGGTCGAGAGACTCGCGGAACTACGGACCCATCCCAATGGGGTTGATTAATGGCAAGATCGTCGCGAGGGTGTGGCCCCCGTCGCGGATGATGTGGGTGGAGAATACGTTGAAGCCGGCGCAGTTGGACTGAGGAGGTGAACGAACGCACGGTGTGGGTGCGCTGTATATTCTACAAGCATGGCTGGAGTCTGGAGTTGGGAAAGGATTAATCCAATTTGTGCATATTCATACATCAAGCTCTCTTGTACAATACAACCAGAGTCAAAAAAAAAAAATCACCGCATGTTGGCCGGGTTGCGGCGCTTGTAGGGAAGACGCTCCGCTGGCGCCCGGCGGAGCTCGATCTCGGCATCAGCAAACCCGATCGACTTCATCACCTCGTACATCGACTCGTCCCACTGGGTGCGGAACAGGTGCGCGCCGATGGGCTTCAGCTGGTACCGGGACTCCAGGGCGCGGGCCAGCAGGTTCTCGCGCGCCGTCTCCTTGGCCTTGACGGCCGCGAAGTCCAGGGCCTTCGACTCCTTCTGCTCGAAGATAACCATCGCCAGGCGGTGGTAGGGGCTGCCCTTCTGGGCCACCGGCGGCGCCCAGGGAAAGACCACCTGCGACTCGGTCGACAGCTGCGACAGATCCACCTTGGTGTTCACCGCGGAGATCGGCACGTTGACCGCCAGGTAGTGCATCTTGAAATCAAACCCGTCCGTCTCGACATTGGGTACGTCCGGGTCGACGACCGCGATGGTCACCAGCTTCTCGCCGGCCTCGAACATCTGCACGTTCAGCTTGGGCGCCTCCGTGCTCAGCTTCGAGTCGACAAACTCGCCCGGCTGGATCTGCCGGCGGCCAAAGTAGAGCTTCGTGTCCAGGGTCGGATCGCAGTGCGGAATGACATCCGGGATCACCTTCATCTGTGTGATTCTCTGCACGAGGATCTTGCGGCGGTACTCGCGCCATTTGCGGTCGGCCAGGAATCGGTAGATGGGCTTGCTCATATCACCTGCAACAACCACAACAGCGGCCACAATTAGCCTAGCGGAACGACAATGTCTTGAACCAGAAAGTCTCACCTAGTCCATCCTCAAACTTCTTCTTCACCAGCGGGTCGTTGATATCCGCTTGGATCTTCAGGTGCTCCAAGTGCAGCTCCATGGCCCGCAGCTTGGACTTCTTCACCTGCTCTCCGCCGGCTTGCTCGGTCGACAGACCCTCAAGCCTCGAGATCTTCTCCCGGATTGATGTGATTTCGCGGAGCTTCTCCTCGCGGTCTGCCACCAGGATCTTCCGGGCTTCCTGGAAACATTGGTAGGGCAGCTGCTCGAAGGGGATGTTGAGGGAATCCTGGAGGGCGACGCGACGACGACGGGATCCAATCGGGGCAACACCCTGGCGCAATAGCTTCCGCTCCAGTCGGGGGTTGGAGACCGTAGCCGGGTCGGGGGCCTTGTAGAAGGGTTGCGACCTGGTCTCGGTCTGAGCCTCTTCGCGCGCCAAAGCGGTCGATTGGAAGGCGCGGGTAGACTGCAGCTGGAGACCTGGAAGACCCTTGGTGTAGGTCTTCTGCAGGCATTGGAGCAAGGGCTTGGAAGCCCGCTCACAATGAGCCATCTTGAGGGAGTAAGATGGGAGGAAAAAAAGATAAACAAGGGAGGGGGAGGAGGGTGGTGGTGGTGGTGATTGTGGTGATAAGAGGCAACAAGAAGGATTTCCCCGGCAAAGTCGAGAGGTTTCCCTTCCTGGCCGGACGGAACTTTTTTCGTCGGGTTTGGCCAAGCCTCAAGGCGGTTTAGTGCCAGAACCACCCGAACTTTTGCTGTTGCTTCTCCCCCTCGACCCTCCGCCCGCGACCAACCCTGCGATCGTCTGTCCTCCATTCAGGTTGATCCTCGAAAGGATTCTCTTGCTCCTTGTCATCTACAATGGCTGGAAGTGACGCTCTTCGCGCCCTCCTGCGGCTCACTCGCAGCTCCGGGGGTCTGCTCTCCGGGGCTGAGACAACCACGGTAGGACGGCCTATTTTCTTCCTTGGTCTGATTCGATTATGCCATTGAAGATATACCAAAAATCGTATACCGTAGACCGTCTACTGACAACCTTTCTTTTCCCTAGCAACGATGCCTGACCAAGTCGCTGTCCCGCTCGATGGCCACCGAGGCCACCGCCCCCATTGACCATCTGACGCGAGAGGTTCCCAAGCCCGTATGGAACCCCGAGCCCGTCAAGGCCACCACCTACTCGTTTCCTTCGATGGAACCCCTGCGCTTCGTCGAATACCCCCGCAACCACCTGTCCATGCCCCTCCGCAAAGACATCCTGCACCGCGCCGTTATCTACGAGGGTGACGCGACCCGACAAGGTACCGCCAGCACCAAGTGGAGGAAAGATGTGTACGGCAGCAACAAGAAGCTGTTCAACCAGAAGGGTACCGGTCGAGCGCGTGCCGGTGACAAGAAGTCCCCCATCCGGAAGGGCGGAGGTGTCGCCTTCGGTCCTCACCCGCGCGACTTCTCGACGGACCTGCCCCGCAAGATCTACGACCAGGCCTGGCGGATAGCCCTCAGCTACCGCTACAAGCGGGGCCAGCTCATCATCGTCGACAACGAGATGGCGCTGCCCGAGGATGCCACCCCCTACCTGGTCCAGCAGATCTTCAAGACCAACTGCTGGGGCCGCGAGTTCGGCCGGTCGACGTTGATCACGGATCGGGTGAACGATAACCTCTTCGGGCTGGTGCGCGAGGTCGGCGAGCATGCGAAGATCCTGGACCGTCGCGACGTGGATGTCAAGGATCTGCTGGAGACGGGCCGTCTGGTCATCGAGAAGCAGGCTTTGGACCGCATTCTGGCCCAACATTCGAGGGACTTGCAGAACGAGCCCAGGCGGGCTTTGTATTAAATTGCAATTTAGTTGGCGATGGGGATTTTTTCTTTGTGTTTGTTTGTTCGGTATGGGTGTGATTTTGCTTTATGACCGAGATATGGTTTCTCTGATTGTACAAATAGAATTGAGCAATGTGTATGATGGGTCCTGAACTGTGCATTTTATTTGTCCTACGGTCGTATTATGCTATGGAGTGTAGGTGTAGGTGTAGGTGGTGGTGGTGGTGGTGGTGGTGGTGGTGGTGGTGCTGGTATCAGAGGTGCGGATTGATGCTTGAATCGGAGCCATTGCTTCCGAGAATGCCTGGAAATAAGACAAAGATTATACTTTTTAAACAATAATCGAGACAACCCAACCAAAATCAAGAAAATTCGGACAATCACTCATGGTGACGCTCCTGTTGCCGGTGGGCGATTGCGCCGCGGCTGGCCGGCGAGGAAAATCATGGGCGCGAAAAAAACTCCGAGGTCGATTTGTCGATTGCAAAGCGGAGAACCGAACGAAAGCTGCTTCTCCTCCTATTGAATCATCTCACAGGACCCCAAACTCCCCCTCCCCGAGTCCCTCCCCTCTCTTTCCCCCTCCTCCGTTCCTTTAGTCCACTTCTCCTCCCCCTTAAATACCGGCTGTGGTCTGCCTCATGTTGGTCCGACACAGTGCTTGCCGGTTCTCAACGCCGTCGAGCTGGATCTCGCGGCTTTCACCAGCCACCACCACCATGCCTCTCCGCGCAAAAGTCACCAACCGAGCCTTCACGGCTTCTGCTACCAATGTACGCTCAATCGGTTGTTGCCGTCGAGCTCTGGATGCTAACCGATTCCAGATGAAAGGTGTTTCTAAAGGTGCTCCTACCCCCGCACAGGACGACGTTCTATTCGGCTCTCTCTACGGCGTGCGGCTGATCGAGCTCAACCGCCCCGAGAAGCTCAATGCCTTGAACTGGTCGATGGTCAACAAAATCACCCCTCGCCTGCAGGTGAGCAAGTGTCCCTCGGATCCGATCTTCCCTTCGAACGGCCCTTTGGCGGGTACTGACGAGCTTGACCGATCGGATAGGAATACAAGAAGTCTCAGCTCGCCAACGTGATCATGGTGGCCGGAGCCGGCCAAAAGGCGATGTGCGCCGGTGGAGATGTTGCTAGCCTGGCCGAGCAGAACCGGACGCGTGAGGACGGACCGAAGAGATCCAGCGAGTTCTTCGCCGAAGAATACAAGCTCGACCACCTCATCGCCACCTACACCAAGCCCTTCATCTCCGTGATGGACGGCATCACCATGGGCGGCGGGGTGGGCCTCAGCGCCCACGCACCGTTCCGCATTGCCACCGAACGCACCGTCTTCGCCATGCCCGAGACCAACATCGGCTTCTTCCCGGACGTGGGCGCCTCGTTCTTCCTGCCCCGGCTGGACGGCGAGCTGGGCACCTACCTGGCTCTGACCTCGGAGCGTCTGAACGGCCCCCAGGTCCTGTTCGCCGGCATCGCCACGCACTACCTGGACTCGAGCGTGCTCGGCAATCTGACGCAGCGCCTGTCCGAGCTGGTGTTCCAGGATTACGCCACGCTGCCGGAGCGCCTGGACCTGGTCAACAGCACCATTGCAGAGTTCTCGACGGGTCTGCCGGTGTCGACCGAGGTGAAGCTCGGAGGCTCGAAGCGGGAGGCCATCGACCGCTGCTTCGGCCACAACACGGTTGAAGGGATCATCGAGGCGCTGAAGCAGGAGAACACGCCGTGGGCCACGCGGACCCTGGAGACGCTGGCGCAGCGCTCGCCCACCTCCCTCAAGGTCGCACTGCGCCAGATGCGCGTCGGCAAGAAGTGGTCCATCGCCGAGGCCTTCCAGCGCGAGGCCCACATCGCCTCCCAGTTCATGCGGCACCCCGACTTCAACGAGGGCGTCGGGGCCCTTTTGGTCGACAAGCGTGCCCCCACATGGCAGCCCGCCTCCCTGGAAGAGGTCACCACCGACATGGTCGACCGCTTCTTCACGCTCCCCGAGGGCGAATCCCGCCTCGAGCTGCCGAGCGAGGGCGACTACAACGAATACCCCCACCACTACGGTCTGCCCACGGAGGCGGCCATCCGGATGTTCGTCCGCGGCGCCTCCAGCGCGAAGGATGACCCGATCGAGCACTTTGTCGGCCTAACTGGCGACAAGCCGGGTGTGCGCGAGAAGGTGGACGAGGTGCTGAAAAGAAAGGCCCACAAGAGCAGGGACGGCGTCTGGCTCTGGAAGTAAAGAGGATGGAATCTGCAACATGGAGCGAAGAAAGAAGGCACTGAAAAGGGAGTAATGACGTAGCACCGGTTTGGGATTGTGTATAGTTATATGTATGTGATTGGGAGTTTCTCTTGTTCCGGACTGAATATTCATGTGGGCTGTGTTTGATACAGTTAGACTTACCTTTTTGGTGATGTTGGTGTATAATTGCGTCTGTGGACTGTAGACCTACAGGGTAGAAAGAGTGCATCCTGGGGGTTGCGACTGTGTAAGTCAAGCTCTATGCTGTGTATGCCTCCATCTACACATGCACGCATGCATTTTGCACGGAATCGACAACCATCAAGCCAACACCTACACACCCAAACAAAACCACAACACCCAGCCATTACGCGTATCCATCCATTCATTATATATCCGTATTTTATCCTCCCCCTCTCCGCAAATCACAAAAACCCCCCAAATCTATTGCCCCCCAGCTCCCACATACTCCGCCATCGCCTTAACCGCCCCCTCCAACCGCCCCCTCTCAATCAGAATCAAACTCCCCTTCGTCCGGATCCCTAACTCCTGGAACGCGCGCTTGGAGTCGGAGTGCCCATCATCCTGTTTCCGGGAGTACTCGAACGAGCCGGCGCAGAGGGCATGCTTCTCGAGCACCTCGTCCTCGGGGTGGAAGAAGAACCGATCCGTCTTGCCAGAAGACCGCTTGCCCTTCTTCTGGGGGCGGGACTCCTCCATGTCCAGCTTGGACTGCACCTCCTCGTAGGTCTTGGAGACGAGCAGGTAGTGCGAGAAGTCGAAGGGCTCGCCGTCGGCGACGGCGTGGGCGATCTCCTGCTGCAGCATCGTGTACATGGGCGGGACGACCTCGGCGGGCATGTTGATGAGGCGCTCGGTGAGGATGAGGCCGACTTTTTGGGGTTGGGCGGCAGACAGCAGGGGGACGAGGGGGTGGAGGGCGGGGTTGGTGGTGGCTTTTTGGTGCAGGTAGCGCGTTAGGGATTGGATGATGGGTTTGTCCTTGGATGGGGTTAGTTGTTTGTGGTGGGTTGCGGGGTTTTGGGACAGGGGCTGGCTGACCTTATGTTCTTGGAGGTTGAGCACCGTCAGGAAGGCGTAGGGGTCGGATTCCTTGCCGTCCGTCTTGATGGTCGAGCCCATCCAGGCTTGCGACAGGATCAGGTCGGACAGCGCCGACATGTCCAGATCTTGGGCGTCGTTGTCGAACAGTTGGCGCAGCAGGTTCTTGAGCCCGTGGAAGTCGACCTCCGGGTCTGGGTCGAACCATTCGAAGTCCACGTTGACCATGTCGATGTCCTTGCGATGCCATTGAGTTAGTATCGTTCTTGCTTCTTTCTTGGGGGGGGGGAGGGTGTTCGGGGAATAGTGGTCGGCGCAAAAACAAACCTCGTCGGAGTCGGAGTCGTTCTCGACGCGGGGATCCGTGCCCCCCATGTCGACGTCGGTGTCTTTGATTTCCTTGCGCTTGACCATTGTGTCTTTTCTCCTTGGTGTTTGAGCTGTGGGGTGGGAATGAGTGTAAGAATTGTAATGGAATCTAACGTTATTTAGGCGGAGCGAACAAAAAGTTGCTCGAAGCCCGGCCGCGGGTCCCCTCACTAACCGCTTTGGTGCATTTTTATCGATAGACAGCCTCTTATCGCCGATAACCACCACTTATCGCTCGCTGGCTTCGATTTTGATGCCTTAGGATCTCGACTAGGTCTTGGTGTGCTTCGTCCACAGAGTGTCTTTACTTGGGATCATTGTTCATGGTTCCAGCTTTGCGAACTCCGTTCGCTTGATCCTATGCACTCGACACGATGTGCATTTCTACTACGTACAGTCTGTCCGATGCAGAGTTTCAGCATTCGGTTCTCAAGCAGTCGACGCACCAACGCATATCACGCTTGAGCTTCTGCTGCTTGAAAGTGACGACAACAGAGCGTGAGGATATATTGTTTGAGTAGAACAATCCAACGATCAAAGCTCCATCATGCAATGTGAAATGGTGGACAGACATCTTGGATCCCTACCTCCGGAGCAAAGAGCTCCTAAATCACCACCCATGATATCAGAGCATATCACCTTGTCTACTGAGTACGAGGGGATCAACAATCGAACATGAACATGAACCGTAACAGAAGCCAGTCACGCCTGCATTAACCCACAAACGGGGCATGAGTAAGCCCACTGCAAAGATTCGATCCAAGATCAATCGAATACTCCATCCATTTCCCTTGGTCGTGGACTCGGAAAAGATTCCAATCGAAACCCGCCGAGACTGACCGGGACCAGCCAGGGTCCAACCAATGTCGTCAACTGCGACTTGAGGGAAGGAGAGACATCGATTATGCAAGAAGTTGCTACGAAAAGAGCAGTAGCACTACATCATCCATCATCAGCACGCAACAGAAAAAAAAAAGCGGTTTTGGCACCGAGCTGGCAGAAAGTGGGTGCGGTTCCCCACCGGGTTATGATCTCAGCGACACTCCCCCATGACATCACCAACTTAGGTCTTCTTTCCCTCGACAGAGGTTCTATAAAGTGACCTGAAGTCAACCATCCCTCTCTGCATTTGATCAGAAAACACACTCGCGATCACAGCATCAATCCACCAAGCTCTATCAATCCTTCCTTTTCTTTCAACCACCCCCACACCAACAACAATCATGTCTACTCACGGATCCGGTCAGTCCAGCGTCGGCAACCGCGCCATCTACGAGGCCGGCGACCAGCGCAACGTCCCCCAGGCCGAGTTGAACGAGCGTACCCGCTACGCCGAGGGCCAGACTCACAGCCACAAGAACCTGGACTCCAGTACGTGCCCCTCTTCTCCCCGTGTCCCCTCACCACCCTCGCCATGAATATACTAACCCAGTACCAGAGGACCAACGCTCCATCGCCAACAAGCTCGCCTCCCAAGAAAACAAGCCCGAGAGCGACCACCACCACAACTTCACCAAGGACCCCGAGGCTGAGCTCAGCAAGCAGGATCCCACGAAGCCTGTACGTTGCCCTTTCCCCTTGCCCCTTGCCCTGATCTACCACACTTCAGTTATACTAATTCCACCGTGCAACAGGCCAAGCTCCACGGCAACAAGCCCTCCAAGGGCGCCCAGATCGACGCCGAACTCCAGGCCGAGGACGAGCAGAGACTCAAGGAGAAGGGTATCAAGCACTAGAGGTCGGAAATATGCCTGAAGCTGGACTTTATGTATAATATCTTTTTTTCTCTCGTGTTCCCAAATCTATGATGACGACCTTTTTTTGTGAATGATGATTGATTTGGACATTCAGCTATGCATTCTGGGATTTGTAGTGTCTGGTGTAGAGTGGCTTGAGTTTGTGTTTGGCGTTAGTTGGGCGTAGTGTGGGTGGACACTATATATGATGGCAGGTATGAGGGCTCTAATCCTTAGAACGTCCTGCTAGCATCTACCATGGAGAGTATAAGCCTCGCTCTGGTACAACATCTGTGATATATGACTGAAGATTGTAGAAACATGCATGGTGTAGAATCGTAACTAAACGTGATATGTACACAACGGTCCCCAAAACCGTGTCATTCATAACGCATGCCCGTTAGGTTGAAAAGAAGCAGAGAAAAGACAACAACCGTTTGGTATCACACGACAAAAAAAGGACCAGGCGCTCAACCAAACTTGGGATCATCGTCATGCGGCTCGGCAAAGACATTGCCCCAGTACGCCTCGACCTTCTCGCAGATCTCGTCCTTGCGCTCCCAGGTCCAGAAGCTGATGGCGGGGTCGCAGCTGACGTTCTTGATCTCCGCCCAGTAGGCGCGCTCGACGTCGTACCGGAAGCGCTGGACGGTGTCCTCGGGGACGAGCCAGGCGCGGCCGTCGGAGCCGTCGGCGCGCAGCGTGGGCGCCGTCTCCCACTTCATGCCGAACACCTTCTCGCCCGGGTTGAACTTGGGGTAGTTGGCGTGGATGAAGAAGGCCGGGGGCGCGGGGGCCACCGCGGGGTCCTGCACGCGCCACTGGCCCGCGCTCGTCAGCGCGTGGTCCGCGATCGGGTCCGTCTGCACCATGGCCGACCCGGAGATCCCGCCGCCCGGTTTGGCGTGGCCCACCGCCTGCACCCGCTCGCTGACCGCGTAAAACGGCTCGCCCACCGCCGCCGCCGCCTGCACGAAGGTCTCCTTGTCGCCCTCGCCGGGCGCCCCCTGCGACAGCAGCCGGAAATAGTGCGACGGGCCGTAATAGTTGTAGTACGCGGCTAGGAGCAGGGTCATCTGGTGCGTCTTCTTCGACACCAGGAACGCCCCGGCCTCCGAGGAGGCGCGCGCCGACATCGGCGGCATCGCCTGGCGCGAGATGTTATAGTAGAGCGGGGACGCGGTCATCGCCCAGAAGTCCGGCCAGGTCACCAGCCCCGCGGACTTGAAAGGGTCCGCGTCCAGCAGCACCTCGGGCTTGGTCAGCGGGAAGCAGTCGGCGTCCATCCAGATGACCTCCTCGAAGGAGGAGAACAGCACCGCGAAGATCTTGAGCTGGTAGTGCTCGATCGCGTTCTTGCCGACCACGTCCGAGAGGACCAGGCACCGTGCGCCTAGGTCGGGGAGGATGTCGTCGCAGATCTGCTTTTCGTACTCATCGGTGTCCTTCATGTACACTTCCACCGGCAACGTCGAGCCCAAGCGTCGGAGCATCCGCAGCGACGACAAGAACACGGGAAAGTAGGTTCCGCCCGCCGTCGAAACCACGCCTCGAGTGCCGGGCGAGTGGATGGGTCGCAGCTTCTCGGACGTCCGACACGCCTCGATGTATCGCGCATGCGCCTCCTCCATGGTATGTAGGTCCTTTTCTTCGAGGGTTGTCAAGTCGGGGCGAGGATCGGTGGAGGTGGCGTCAAAGCCGACGGCGCCGGCATCGTCGGTGTGCCCAGGCGAGGGGCAGTTTGGCCCATTCTCTTCAAGGATCGGTTTCAAGACCTTCCAGAATACATTTTGGCGTTCGACTACAGGGACTTCGAAGACGGTGCTGGGGACTACCGACGCCGGTGGGGGTGCCCAGTACACATAGACGGTGCAGATGAGGAGCAAGGCGCCCGTGGCCGTGATGAAAGATTTGAGTCTACCCGGTCGAAGGATCGGCATCTTGGTATGTGAGACCGCGTCTCAATCGAGAGATTGGCTGGCTAGCAGTCTTCACGCAGGCGATTCGTTTCTTGGCTGGGTGCGTTTCGTCGACCTTGAAGGGTGGTTCGGTGGATACAGGGATACCAGACGATTCGATAGCAGATATTCGTGCAGTATACTCACGCATGAGCCAACATGATAGGCGACTTTGGGAATAGGGGGTTTCGTAGGGAGGATTGGCGGAGATGTTGTTGTCCTAGGAGAGATGCGAATCACGGCCTGGATTATGATCGGGCTGTGGAAGGCCTCAAACGCTGATCGATTGGAAGGATGGTGGGTGGATGAATCAGACTAGGGATAGTCGGACAATTGCAGCCATACAGCTAGCTCTTTTTCGAGTTATGAATGTCGGTCTCAATTGACCTCGACGCCGTCGAGATAGAATCCATGGTTGGTAAATGGATGGCGATCGTCGAGAGATGCGCTCCCTTGGGTAGGCGGTGGCAGAATCCAGGACTTACGTTGCGCACCACTATAAATAACAACGTCTACGAGTCATTGTAGGTCTGGAGATACTGAGTAGACGTCGGTGGATGTTCTTTTTTTCGTGCTGGCTGACTCAAGGAATCATGTTCCCAATGCCTTGCAGCTTACTGGGAAAGAAATGCTTCGTGCAATCGTCGGACGAATATGAACACAGACTAAGAAGGCCGGTGAATAGCAACCGTATCGATCATATAGTGCAGCCACAGCTCCCGGAGGAGAGGTTTGAGGTTGGGACGGGTTATCATGGCGCCGAGCTAACTCCTATATCCGGCAATGGGACCGTTGAAGACCTGAATGCATGATTGAATGGATCCTCAAGCGATGATCGGTTTCGACCGAGAAGTGTAAAAAAAAAGCCCACTTGCTGCAGAAGATTGCAGAAGATGCAGAAGATGCAGAAGATGCAGAAGATTGCCCCAAAGGAGTAATAGATTTAGAAGGCCGGCCAGACCCGAATCCAGCCCGGTGGGAACATGTGCCGCACTAATCCCAGTTGGGCCTCTTTCCCCTCCCTCCCCATCTTTCCTTCTCGCTGCCTCCCTCAGGCATTATTCATCAGTTCTCCTATTCCTCAATCGTCTTCCTCTACTCAAGCTTCAACCATGGTCCAAGACCAACCGGCGGGGACCTTAAAATGGAGCCTACAGCTAGGGGCAATTTTAATTTGACAAATACAGAGACTCAACAACTCCAACTACAGAGTTTCTCCCACCGTGTTCACCGTGTACTGTACTAAGAAGTTCATAAGTTTAGTTTAATATCCGGGTCGGCATCTCCTAAGGGCGGATGATACCGCAACGATCGCCGCTTCTGCCCTTCACTGCCCGTCCACCTTGCCAGGACCCATTGCAAGCTAGAACGAGGGCCTAATGGGGGTCATCTCTGATATGTTTGTGTCATAAAATCTCGAACTATCCAACTTCACTTCTCCCAGTCACCTCGATCCCTTGTCGGTTCCTGTATATAAGCTTTGCCGGTGCTGCTGCCACTACTACACCCATCCTGCCAGTGTCAACTTGACCACGCGATTACCCTCCTGCTTTGCTTGATCTATCATCCATGGGACCCCGCACCCCGGGTCACCTCCACTTGGCTTGTCTGAGCTTGTTCATGCTTACCTCTCCTCCAGTCCACGAGTTCTAGTCGGCTCTATGATGGATCCTCTGCCAACGGGGCAGGGGCGCAAATCGCCGCCGGTCTCCGCTGCACCTCCGCGGAAAAGACGGAAGAGAACAGTCATCAGCCAGGCAGCCGATGACTGTTTTACCTGTGCTCGACAGGCGAGTCAATGCGATCGGAGACGGCCGTACTGCTCCCAATGTCTGGACAATGGCCGCGATTGCGCAGGCTATAAGACCACTTTGACATGGGGAGTAGGGGTGGCCAGTCGGGGAAAGCTTCGAGGACTATCCTTGCCGGTGACGGGGGCTCAGCCAGCTGCAGCCTCATCGCAGTCTCGTGCGACAGCGGCGTCGAGGGCATCACATTCGACACAGTCGACAAACTCCACTGCATCGGAGTCGCCTGCGCAGAGAAAACCGATTTCTTCTACGTTAGACTCGTCGGAAGCCAGTCGCACACCTTCTAATTTGGGGATACGTCCTAGGTCAGACCAACCTGCAAATCAGTTGCAATCGCATTCGGCTCCGGTGTCATCTGACAACCAAACCACTTCCAAACGTCCGTTACCTTGTTCAGAACCGCTACCGGTGTCAGCCTGCCATCACGCGACACCAGCTCCTTCGTTGGTTCCTTCGAGATGGGCAATGCCGGTCTGGCCAGCCTCAATACAGACTTCAATACCAGTTGCAGAGGCCAGGGACGGTCCGGGTCATGAAGAAACAGCCGTAGAGCGTTTTGAGCAGAGTGGTCAGGACAGGACTCCTTGGGTTGTTGAAAATCATGCGCCGTCCTTATCTCAGCAGCTATTAGCGCGCTCCATTGGACGAACACCGCGCCTGCGATTCCTGATCAGCTATTATGCTGAAGTGATTGCGCCAATGATCGTTGCATTCGATGGGCCGACCAATCCGTTTCGCACGTACGTCCTGCGATTAGCGCAGGAAAGCGCATCGCTTCAAGAAGCTATAGCAACTTTATCTCTTTGCAATATGCGCCAGAGACGAGAACGGGGCACAAGGTCTACCGAGCGTACCCTGCCCGCACGAATGTCATCATTGGCTCACCAGGCTTTGACGGAGGCATCCTTGAACACCCAGGCTGGTATTGATGTTCCCAAAGTTTCGGCGCGCGAGGAGCATCTTCACAGAAGTATGGCGGTCAAGGCGTTGAATGGAGAATTGGCTGATCCGCGACAACGGCTATCGGACTCGGTGCTCGCGACATTACTCGTCTTATGCCTCTTCCATGGGTGTGACACGGGGGTCGCGCAATTTAAGACCCAGTTCGCTGGTGTGACCAAGTTGCTGGCCATTCGGCTGTGCAACGGCGCCGCCCATGTGACCGAAGAATTGAAATGGTTTATTCGCATGTTCACCTGGCTCGACACTATGACAGCGACTACGAACGACCGGGATATCCAACTTCGCGGAGCTTGTCTAGACATAACCGCAATTTCGGATGGCGAATGGGGGCTTGAAAATCTGGCTGGCTGTAATGCCAGCCTGTTCAAAATCATTGCGCAGCTTGGTCGCCTGAATCTCCTCAGTCGAAACCAAGATACGCAGACTTCGGCATCTCCTGAAGTCCATGCCCCATCAACCACCGTTCCTCCCCATATCGCGTACAGCTCAACGAGTACACCGGGTATGCCTTCCGAGTCGTTTACGAGGTTCATTCCTCCACAGGCGGGAAACTCCAGCTCAGCTTCGGCTTCTCCCATGTTCTGGGCCGAATGGCACTGCCTGCGGCAGAAGCTTGAATCGTGGAGGTTTGACTCGGGGCGGCGACAATCATCGTCTCCCCATCATGTGACGACCTACATCTCGCCTCCGTCATCTCCTCCGAGCCAATTCAGGGTGGCGCCGGAACATCTGGACGATGTGAATCATATTTCTGAATCCTTTCGCCACGCCGCGATTCTCTACAGCGAGCGACTGGCTCATCCCGATCTGTCGTCTGGCCACCCTCGTATCCAGCAAATTGTGCAACGGACAATGACTCACATTCTGGCCGTCCAGTGTGATGCGTATCTCCTGTGGCCGCTGTTCATCACGGGCTCCGAGTGCGTGCTGTCCAGCCATCGGGCGATCATCCGGGAGCGGTGTCTGTATCTCTCCAAGGATTCCGGGTTTATCAACAATCTGACCTGTCTGGAGCTCTTGGAAAAGATATGGGCGGGAAGTCCTCCCGTGTCCGAGACTGGGAATCCCTACAACAGCGGTGCAGCAGCAGGTCTCGGCAACCAGCACATGAAGGCAAACGCGAGCCTGGCAGACGATATGAGCGCTGGCGCCTTGGGCGGCTGGAATGGTCTCTCTACGGAGGCCCCGACGCCTCCCCCGCGCAGACAGGGATTCCGGTGGCACGAGGTGATGCAGGTCAAACGGGAAGAAGGCGAATATATGATCGTGTAACAGTGATGATGCCGATGCCTGCCTGGGAAATAGACGGGGTACGTAGATATGGCTTGATGATGGATCACGGTTTCTTTGTATAGTATAGATGACTTGGATTTTGTACATACTGTACATAGGACCCTACAGTAGATACCTAGGATGCGTGTACATACATATGACCCATACAAGAAACACCCTCAATGTGTGTATGATTTGATTGCTTTCCACCAAGTCAACACGAGTGACAAACAGGAGAGTAACATGTGATTCGGATTGGGTAGCCAGCCAACACAAACAAAACTCCACGATCCAGAGTCCGACAGACCCGAGACAACGCCAGGATCTGGTGTCTCAGGTACTGGGTATTCCACTAAGGATGACAGTTCCGTCTCTCTGTCCATCCTTATACCATCCTATCTAGCCACGCACTAATAGACAGCCTTGCTACAGACGTACCAGCCCACCACTCATCCACCCACCGAACCACCGACCCACGAAGAAGACATTTACTACACCATGCCCCCACTTCGCAAAACCATATCGTGTACACGTATATGTAACGCTGATTTAACACGAGATCTCAAATGTCAAACTCAGAATGACGTTCACGTGGAGCCCACTAGGTACTGTACACTACACCAAAAGAACGGTGGGGTTGGGAACCCAACCCGGAGGGGTAGTGTAGATTTACTTCTGCCTTAGGTGTTTGTCCATTTTACGGTATATTGTCGATCAGTTTGTACAGTACTTATCGTGCTTATTTTAGTAGTTAGTAGTTACGTAGTACCTCTAACTTCCACAGCCCTACGCAGCGGTGTGGACGGCTGCACAGTACTTCCACCGTGACTACTGGACTGTACGTACATCGAATCAACACCCCGATATCGGGCCAGGTGAATGTATCCAGCTAGCTACCTTACCTAGATGAAAGTATGAATCTAGGGGTGTCATTGGACATTCGGTTACGTACTTTGTCCCTTGGGAACTTGGCAGCTCTGTTTATCTAAGACGAGACCTGGGGAGTTGAAGCGGGGCTCAATCCACCTGGGCTTGAGTCCAGTCCTAGACAGTCCAGTCCTAGACAGTCCAGTCCTAGACAGTCCAGTCTAGTCCATCCATGCAATCTCCAGTCGAAGAAGTACAGTACAGTACAGTACTATCCTGAGAAACGATGCATTTGACACCTTGACCCCGCTTGAAACTTACATTACCCTCCAGTCTTAAAGGTAGGTAGGTCATGTAGCAGACAAAAGGGAAGGGGGGTGTCAAACACCCAACGTCGACAAACACATTTCCCCAGGACCAGGGTTCTAGTGATGGACCGCTACGCCTAAACGTGCGTTTCTGGTCTAGTGCACAAACCCCTCAATCTTTGACTTTTGACTTCTCGCGGATGTCGGAATGCTTGCAGGGAATAATGGGTACAGTACATGTTAAATTCGGTGCGATGAGGCGATGAGGGGAGGGGGTCTGGACTGTCACTGTTGCTTGCACGGTAAGGTGGGTTGGGTAGTCTGGGTGTCGGTAGCATTGCGCGTGGCCGTGAACGGGCAGCGGCTATTAGCGTAGGGCGTACGCTGTATAGCGTATCGAAATTTCGAAGAAGAAGAAGAAGAAGAAGAAGATGATGATGATGATGATGGCGTATTGGAGGAGAGGGAGGAGGGTCCTTGGGGTATAGATGTACTGTACATAGGTACTATGTAGTACTGGGTGACGGTGTTGGTTGGTTGGTTTTTGGCAGGTTGGCTTGGATCCATGATCGGATTGGAGACTACCTACTGTAAGTACTCAGGCTCCGTCCGGAGAACGTAAATCCTTGGGATTGGAGTATCTTCTGGTTGATTGGGTTCTCGGGATAGATCGTCTATTGCATTGAGGTGCATAAGTTAGGGTCTATGCCTACGTAGGGAACTACTAGGCAGCTTGGACTGTGCCGTGGGTGGAGTTGCTGGATTCGAGAAGTGCGACTGTGCCATTGTTGCTGTGCCAATGCTGCTGAGCGTCTAAACAACGGTTTACTTCGTAGTTATTTGGACATCCATTGATGACTAGGGCTCAGGGCAAGGGCATGCATCCGTCACCCACACAATGCTACATACTTCCCTCCCACATCTTATTCCCGAATTCCAGTCGCGAGTGCGCGCGCGTGGGATCGGCATGTGGCTGGGATGCGAAGTAAACACGGCAGATGAATGGCGACGGAGGATCGCGTTTAAAACCACGGCGTAGAGAGAGGGAGGTGTGGTCTTTTGGCATCGGTCGGCTGCAGAGGAGATCTGTACACATCGGAGTGAGTGAGATACAGCCAGGCATAGCCGAGGGGTCCTCAATTGGCGTGTCGCAGTCAGATTGATAGTCCAATCATCAATCAAAAGTCGGCAGGTGTGATCTGAGAAGGACTCAGAGTGGTGGTCGTAATATTTGGCTGGCTGTGTACGGAGAACTCCGTATTGTATGTACATTACCGTACAGACATACTTGGGAGATATAGACAAACACCACCACCACAACAATAACAACAGTCGCAGTTCTAGATCTCCGGCTCCGAGAAACAAGCAAGGGACGGTGAAAAGCGAAAACTCTGCCGGTGGAGACCTGGGCTGTGGGTGGAGTGCAGGAAAAGTGTTAATTTGTATTTAGCTCCGATAGTGCTCTGTGCTCTGTGAGCTGTGCCGTGTTCTTTCTTTCTTTCTTTCCAGAGAACTTCTATTTTCAGTCGGTGCTTTGATTGAATAAATGAATGCTGAATGGTTGGGGAAAGAGCACCACCCGCTCGAGCAGTGATGGGAATTGCAGGTCACATTCGCGCTTGTGATGACCCTTCCCCCTCCCCCGGTCTGACTATCAATCAGTAGTATTCTAGAGTATGTAGGCGCTAGTTGGCCGCCAGCAGCCATCTTTCTGAATAGGAATCACTGCTGCCGCTCGGGAGAATTCTTGGATGCATTAGAGCCGCTGGCGCTGCGCAAGCCGGAGTTTCCTCTCTGTGCCCGGTGACTGACTGACTGACTGACTGACGGTCTATACTTCCTGAATCCTGAGACGATCCGCTCTGCCTGCTCTTGTGCGCCCACCGGACCCTCATTCCGCGTCCGCGTCTCCGTTGCCCGTCCAATGGGTGGAGCCAGTGCCGCGATGGCGTTTATCGCATTTTTTGATAGCGAGTAAATATTGGAGTTGGACCCAGCAAGCGAGACAACCCTCGACGAAGAGAGACATCTCCGTCTTCCTTTATCCTTTATCGCCCGTACCGGTACCTCTACTTTAGACGCCACCACGTAACCATGATCACATCTGGGCTTCGACCTGCTTTGGACCCCGAGCGCCATGTGCAACCAGACCTCGAAGCGAAAAAGGGCTGCCTATCTATCTGCCAGGGGTTGTTCGGACATGACTGGCTGCGCAACTCCGATTGCGTAGCTTTTCTCACTCGCCCGGGGGGTAAGAGTCTTAGCAGCTCTGTGCTATTGGGCAGGATCTGAGCCAGGCGGGATTGATATTAAGATAGTCACTAAGCCATGGCTCGAAGCATGGTGGGGCAGGAGGGAAGAAGTACTCTTCTTACAGTCTTCTTACAGTAACCTGTGAATCTGCGACCCTCGTTTGCGGTCCAGCCTGCATGGGGGGCCCCCTTAGCCCTATCACATTCGCGTCTCGGCCAGGCCTGTCAGAAACCGAGAAACTGAGTCTGGAGTACGCGGAGTACCACATCAGATGCTGTATGCAGTTTCCAATCGCTCCAGTCTCAACTCAGATACCTTTTCCATCCGAACTTCACAGAGACTTTTGATTTTCTTCTTTCTTCTCGAACAAAAACAGGAAAATCAGGGATCTGCCCGGTCGGAGAATTAATTGTGAAAGGAGGGTCCTCTTTTTTAGACTCCCGCGCTCAACTGTGCAAATTGCGGTCTGTCCAACCGGCCAGTATGGGTGGTTGCTGCCCAGCTGCTGGGCGACGGCGGTAACGCCCATTTACCATGACCAAAAGAACTCCCAAGTTGCCCAACATTTTCCCTCAACTACACTACACAACTAGTGCTCGTGGCCACAACAGGAGATATCCCTGCCATTTGGTTCCACTGGGCTGGAAATGCCTGCCCGCCTGGAGTTCTGTATCCATGGATTTTCAACCGGTTGACGGGCTCATCCGCACCCGCGTTCCATGGAACCAAATCCAACCAGACCAAACGATAAGACACTTCGACAGGATTTTACAGTAGTGGCTTCGGGACTATCTCTATTTACAGCAATGGACTAATCGATCCCATGTACCCGAGAGGTCGTACTTTCGACCCTGTGCGATTATTCATTAATCTCTCGACTGTGACACCAACGTGTAAGACTAACTGGTTGCGCGACAGCGTCATCTTCGCCACAGCCCGCCTGCCTACAGTGGAATATAGAAGCCTTGGGGCTGATGCTGCGACGAGATGGTTGATTCGTATTATCAACGCTTACTCGATGGTTGTGACTGAGCCACCCGTGGCAATGTGATCTCTCCATGACTCATTGACTAGTTGACATACCAGACGACCGAATGAAGGACTATCAACAGGATCGGCTCGCCAGCTCCATCGCGTTTCCTGCAGGCTCCAACGGTAGGGTAATGTACGTACATCGGATGCCATGCGGGAAATCCCCAGCCATGTTGGACGAAGCATCTAGCCAATGACGCAGAGCGTGACTCTTATCTACACGGTGATGAGGGTTCGAACATCTCACTGTTCGCCATGTACGGCCATGTTGACGCGAATGAGTGGAGGGGCGGATGCTGCTGCACTGCTTCTATTGCGGCAACAAACATCTTGTTCTTCCTTCCTCCTGTTTCAGCAACGTCAACCAAGATGGGAGGGAAGGGGAGGGGGGATGCCCAACAGGGGATTATTTCGTATGTAGCAAGTAGTAGATGGATTGTTCAGATGACTCTGTCCGACGGGGGCCTGTTGCCATGATGAGTAAGAGTCAAGTGAGTGGCATGGAGAGTGACCGCAGTGCACAATGTGGGCGGCAATTCTGCGCATTTCATTCATTCATGTAGTCATCCATTCCCCCCTCCGTGGAAGTGTATATAAGGGAGCAGTACTCTCCACCTGATCACCTTGGTCGGGTTCTGGAAAAGAGGGTGTAGTGGGTGATGACTCTGGAAATGAGCTGGAAGGTGATCAGCTTCTTCTTCTTCTCATAGCAGCAGCAGCAGCAGCAGCAAATCCTAAAACCCAGTGCAGCATCACGCTGGTTTCAAATTGGTGTTTCTTCCTCCCCTCCCATTCCTTTCCTTTCCCTCCCTGTCTCTCCCTCTCTCCCTCTTGGGAGTGGGAGTTGTTGGGCCTGAAACGCGCCCAAGGCACCCATCCCTCCCTCCATCACCACCATCACCACCACATAAAAAATACGGTATTGTAAAGCCGAGACCGAAACGGCCACGAACGCGAGAGGTCACTTTTTGCTGCCTCCACCCCCAAAGCGAGACTAAGACACTAGTACCAGTTACCACCAGTGCAGCCCCCACTTGCAAGTCCACCCAGTCCACCCTTGCAATTCTGTCCCGTGGTTACAAAACCGGTTGTCTCCTCCACCCCCTCTGGGCTCTCCCCCTTCGAATCATTTATCCATCCATCCACCATTCATACACCCTGTTCGGGTTCAACCTCTACATCTACATCTACAATAACAAATACAACCATCCGGGTTGGATGAACGAAGTCTAAGCGATTCAAGCGAGTCTCAACCGCAGCTATCGCTTGTTCGCCACTCGTGTCGCGGACTCCGATAGAGTCTTCTAGGGATCACAGGTCGCTTCTCTGCATAGCCGCCTTCAACAACTACGCCCCGTTCAGCGTTCGATAGAGCGAACGACGTTCAAATGCACTCTCGGCACATACAGCTCTATCCCTCCTCTCCCTCAGAAACCGCACCACGGTGACGGTTCTCTCCCATCAATCTTCCGATTTCGTTGTCCTCTGCTTCGGCGTCGATCGGCTTGTTACTACGATATCCTGTATAATATACCTGGGTTGTGCTGTTTCTATTCTCGCCTTTGATATCTTGCGATCGGGAGATTCTTCCCCACGTTCTAAAAGTTCTCTCGTCCACGACCTGTTTTTGATTGCCCGCGTGATTCGACTTCCTATGCACGTTTCTCGATAATGTATCACTACACTACTCCACCTCCTGGGTGGTCCTACGACTACACGACCTCTCCTCCCACGTCTCCTCACTACGCCTACTACGCCTCCCCCTTCGCCAATGCCTACGGCTCGCCGCGCGGTCCGTCGAAGCGCCACAACCGCAAAGCCAGCTACGCCGGCCCGAAAGAAACCGCCGGATGGTATGCTGGGTATGGGCAAGGGTTCTACGAAGCGATGCCAGAATATGGCACGCCACCGCGCAAGCACGATCCTGTAAGTGCTTCTTTTGGTGGCTATTCTCGTCGTCGCAGCACCATGTCCGGGGCCCCAGCGGCGGGCCCGTGGGAACATGCCGGCGCCCACCCGTCGCACCCGTCGCACCCGTCGCACACCCGGCCCATCTTTGTGGATGTGGTCGACGACGGATCCGACGGCGATGCGCCGCGATACGTCTTCCGCGAGGAACCCAGTCCTCCGCGTCGCAAGCCGTCGACGTCTCACCGCAAGCCCAAGCCACCCACTGATCAATACTTCTACTATAACCAGGTGCCTGCCCATGAAGATGCCGATGCGGCCAAGCGACCTCGGGCGCGCCGTCAATCCACCTCCACCCGCACGCCCAACAAGCCAAAGCCGTCCGCTCCTACCGCCAAGCCAGCTCCAAAAGCCACAGAAGCCGATGCGGCCCGAGAAGGGATTCCCCCAGGCTACTCGATCAAGAACTGGGACCCGACGGAGATGCCGATCATTCTGCTGGGGAGTGTATTCGACGCGAACTCGCTGGGCAAGTGGATCTACGATTGGACCGTGTTCACGCATGGGGCCTCGACGCCCATGGCGGATGTGGCGGGCGACCTGTGGCTGCTGTTGATCAAATTGGCCGGCAAGGTGAAAAGAGCCAACGAGTGTCTCGACCGCATCCGGCGCCCCGAGGCTCAGGAGGTCGTGGAGGATTTCCTGCAGAGCGGGGAACGCCTGTGGGCGCGGTTCAAGAAGCTGCTCAAAACCTGTGAGCAGTTTATGTGGAAGGCGGCCAAGCGGGAAGGGGGCAAGGGAGCTGTGTCGATGGGCCGCAATGCTGGCTGTGAGTTTGTCGAGACGATCTTTGGCCGGGATCGCGAGCTGGAGAGTACGGAGAAGCTGATGAACAGCATCCGTTTGTGGAACATGCGGTTTGACGCCAACTGCGAAGAGATTCTCCGTCGCCCGTCGGCCGCCTAGCCTCTGCGACTGCGACTGCGACTGCGACTGCGACTGCTAAAAGCACTATCTGATTAATTTGTTTTGGTTTTGTTGGTATTTACATGGGAGCTTTTGACAGCACTATCCGCATCACGCAGGATTACAGGATACATGTGCAGTTGTTGCCGACTTACACTGCTTGGATTTAATGGTCGGCATGCATTTCAGCGCGTTTGGTGACTCCATCTTATTGGTGCATCTTCAGGGTGAACAGTCCCGTCTATCATTCTCACGCAAATGCTTTTATTTTTGTTTTGGTTGCGTTCTGAATTTGTTTGTTTCAAGCTTTCAAGCATGACTTCTAATTCTGGGCTGGGGATTTGTTTTCCTTTGGCGTGCCTTGTTCAGTTTCACACGGCGTAACCTGCGATTTCCGCTGCTTGTTGCTGCTGCGATTCCTGTGGGCTTTTTTTCTTCGTTTCAATCTGTCTTTTTGATGATACCATTCTGCGATCACTGTTTCGCCCCGGGACTGCTGGTTGAATCATTCTTTTTTTTTCTTGGGTGTGGCGGGGTTCGACACCGTTTCCTACATTTACTATCTTTGACCGTTGATAGACATACAGTACAGTATACAACTGATACAATGAATTTTTCTGTACCAAGAGTAGCAATGTACGGATTCAACGTAATGCTTAACGTCTGCTAACGGATGCCATACCAAGAAGGCTGTGGCTATGACTGTGGCTGTAGCCGGCGTGTGGTGACTCTCACTCAGCCTTCGGTTTGGGTTCAACCCTGCCCTTCAGCCCTGCCCTCAGCCCTCAGCCTTAACATGAGCTTTTGACGACCAGTGTATGCAGAAGCGCCTCTCTCTAAGTCCACCAAGATCGAAAGCCCAGATCTAGCCCCAGCCTTAGACCTTAAGAGTCAGAACCGGCTGTGTAAGTGTGCGTAGAACGGAAAGGAATGCTCGGAAAGAAGCCCCCCGCGGGCCCCATCTCCCCAGCCCTAGGTCTGCAGCATACCTCTGTCGTGCATGGCATGCATGCAGGCGTGGGCCCCCTCCGCGCCTCGTGTGGCACTGTGGCGAGGTTTACCATGTGGGAATGGGGATAGTACGGGTACCCCCTTCTTCGTACCTGCTTATCCTGCAGACAGACACTACCCATGTACTGCCAATATAGTACACGTAGGCGGTAGGCCCAATCCCTCCTGCTTATGCCGATGGAGTATGAGGACAGGTACTGTACGATGACTCGCAGGAATGTACAGTGAGTATGACCTCAGCTCCGGAGACCGTGAGCATAGACGTGACGGATGGGGAATGTTGCGTACGTGGTGTGCGCGTGTGATGCATGCACGGTTATTGGTCGGTATGTTTATGTCTAGACTGTGTGGCTTTGCGGTACGCGTGGGATGGTTTTGGGCTTGGAATCTAGGTGAGGTTGGATTCTTGTGCTGTCCGGCGGGAAGGGAGGCTTCTGGTTGCCTTTCTTTTTTGGTCTCTGGATGACGTCGATTTGTGTCTTCACTTGGTATTGGGTTTGGAGTGGGATTGGATGTAGTGGTGGTGGTGGTGGTGGTGTAGGTTGGTATGCTTGGGGGTTAAGTGCGGTCTTTTTCTTGGTCTGATTGTATGGTTGCACTTGGGGGTTGGGTGCCATACCTGGTGGGCTTCAGTAGATGGAGGGAGGAGGAGGGGGAGGGAGGTGGCCTCTGGGGTGAGATGAGCTGGATTGTTGATCTTGCGTATTGTCTGTTTCTCTTGTCCTAGATGCATACGTAGTACTGTTGGAGGTGGGGAGGCGGGGAAGGGTCACGGCACGGTCACGGTCATCGGGACTTCAATGGGTGCAACTCAAGTGGGGTCTTCGCCTTACTGCGGTGCCACTAGTATTGCCCAGTGGTGGAGGCCCGCATCCAGCCAGCTAGCCAGTTACCCCACGGGCATCCATTCGCCTCGAAGCCGGATGCAGGTTGGGGACCGTGGACTGGATCTCGTGCCCCTCCTTGTGGTGGTTGGCCCGGGTGGACTTGGGTTCGGTGGTGTTAGTGGCTTAGTGGTTGCGTGGGTGTAGATGTATGCGTGTTGAGGTTGATTGTGGTAGCTGTTGTTTCTCTATTATTGTAGCAGTTGTTGGTGAGGGAGAGGGGGGCTGTCTGTTGTGGTGAGTGGTGACTGGGAAGCTGAAAGGAAGGGGGGTCTGGGGGTTCTCCCCCAGATAGTTATACTATAACTTGGACTTAGGGTTGAGGTTGCTGGAAAGTTGAAAGAAAGGGGGGTCTGGGGGTTCTCCCCCAGATAGCTATACTATAGCTGGATTCAGTAGTAAGGTAGCGTAATTGACAAGCGTGGGGAGGCTATTGTGTGTTGCGGAGAGTTCAGGCGAGGTGTGCTGTTTCTAGCGGAGGTTGAAGGGAGAGTGATGAGTATTATAGGGCAGGTGCTGTAGGTAAGTCTACGGATGGGCATGTGAAGATAGGATAACTTATATGTAGAACTTCATATTGTGGCCAATCTAAGCAATAGAACTCTTGAGAGGTGCAACGCAAGTCTAAAGTACACCTTGAAACCGAATCGACACGAGTAACCAACCAAGTAGGAATTCTATCAATATACTGTACTGTATTCACATCTATCCCAAAACCACAACATTACTCAATCCGTCAGATCTACCCCTTTGAACTGGTTCAACCCTTCGTCTCCCCCTTCCAGACCAACCACCCCAGCCCAATCAACAACTTCACCCCGGCCGCCATCCACAGCGCCGACTCCATCCCGCCCGAGGTCTTACTCAACCAGCCGCCCGCAATCGCCCCGATCAGCAGGAACACGACCCCACCAATCCGACGATTGCGCTTCACGTTCCCGTTGGGCACCTGCAGCAGCTTGGGGTCGGACGCCACGTCGAAGTAGACGCTGGTCAGCACGACCGTGGGGATCTCGTTGTACCCCAGGGCGCGCGACGAGGTGATCGACCCGGCGGACTGGAACGCCAGCAGCGCGATGGGGATCAGCTCCAGGAACAGCCGGCCGCCCGTCAGCTTGCTGTCCGTCGAGGTGTGCGGGATCAGGTCGGCCTCGATGATGGCCACCGCGATGATGATCAGGATCGTCTGCGCCAGGAAGGAGAGCACCAGGGTGCCCCGCGCGCGGTTGCCGCTGCGTCGCGTCAGGTTCGCGAAGACCAGCGCCCCGATGAAGAACCACCCGATGCTCATGAGGGATTTCAGCCAGCCCCACGGTTTGTTGGCGGGTTGGTTGGAGGCGCCCAGGCCGAGAAAGATTGTGTTTCCTGGAGTAGATTAGTGTTAGTGTGAAGAAGGGCTAGTGGGGGAGAGGGTGGAGGGGGGCTGGGGCAGGGGATAAGGTGAGGAGGCAGAGGGAGGATGGCGTACCCGTTTGCATGGCTAAGAAACACGACCACGCGTTGTATGCACTACTGTCGCAGAGTCCCGTGGTGAAGCACAGCAGTAAGCAGATCAGGTCGGTGTGTTTTGGGTCGACATTCTGGTTCCAGCGCTGCGAGAAGGTGAGCTTCTTCATCTGAGGTTCCGGGTCGGAGGCTTCGAGATCGCTACCCTCGGGGGTCGACGAGACAGGGGGCTTCTCGGCCATGAGTGTGAGTTGAGTAGTGTTGTCTGGTTTGATACTACCCACGGGTATCGATATGGGACAGAGACTAGAGCCGGGGGAGAATTGGGCCTGCACCACGCCGACGCCGGGCCTGGGGCAGTCACAGTATTTATCCACGGCGGCGCCGACAACCGGCCTCGGAAGAAAATGTTCAGAGCAAAGTCCGGAGCTGACAGGCCGCCTTTTGGACAGTGAGTGATGGAGATCGTCTCTCGGCGCACGATGACTAGTTACATCTTGGCCAAATGATAAGACCCGCGGATTGGTCTCTTCCCTGCCTCTTCTCTACTCACCGGGGCGGATTGTCCAGGTTGCGCCATTCCCATTAATTCACTACTGCAGCAGTGCAGACTCGTTGAGTCTGTTTCTCTTGGCGCTGCATTGATGTTTTCGTGAGTCAAACAACGGGTGGATGTGGATGTGGAGGTGAATGAAGATGGGGAGAAGAGGAGAGGCGAAGGAGAATCCCGCCAGTTGCTCCCTCGATCCACCCGGTCGGATAGGGCTGAACTGAAGTGGAGGATGCAGTCCATGTACTGTACTCTGTACGGTCCGGATGATTGATTGCAGGGAATGTAGGTAGGTAGGCTGGCTGACTGACTGTGAGCAGAGTCATCCAGCACTCCAAGGTTCGCGATGCATTCCCACCACATCACACCGAACTTTCGACCCCATCACCACCATGAAGCAGCCCGCCCGGTGAAAGAGAGGGTGGCGATCGGGGCAGTCTGGTCTGCCGACAGCGATAGTCCCTTCTAGTCTCCCCTCGTGCATCAGCATCCGATCCCCAATTCTCCATTTTTGCTTCTGCACGGCTCGGCAACCAAGCCCTATTTCCTATCTGCCCTTCTGCTCTCTTATCCTGTCCTACTGCTTATCGTGAAGATGCTGGTGACATATCCGATGGTCCGTCCCGACCCCGTCTGCTCTCCTCCACACAATGAAAACTGTCAGCCATATGGCATCGACTCAACCATGGAAATCTCCTTGAACAAGAGGAGGGAATTATCCGTGGAACCTGACATGAACTGACAGCCGAACCAGAGGGATGTCGTGGCCAGCCCGAGGCTGCAACCAATACTCTCATCGCCAACTCCCGTCATGACCTCACCAATTTGCGGGGAAGCAATCAGCTTCGCAACCATTTCATGGGCCACTTTCCGAAGTCCCAGCGTCATTGACGCATCATCCGTGCCACCGTGGGCCATATAATCCCCTCGATTCCCACCGTGAGCTTGGACATATACAGAATCAACACAATCAGTCTTGGAACCAATATCGAACAACTGTATCATCACTGGTACGCTGGCTGTCCTTCCTGTCTCAGGAGTGCTGCTATCGACTGTATTGTATACGGGCTATGATATCCGCGACTAATCGAGAACAGACCGAGTATCTACCATGCAGTCCTCAAAAGCTAAAAACACCTCGCGCATGTCGCAAACCGCCCAGAAGCAGGCCGGCGGTTCGAAGAAAGACGATCCCACTGCCAATTGGAGTCCAGAAGAAATGTTTGAGACTACCATGGACCGCGACGGCAACCCTGTGCCCGATCCCATCTCCTACGTTGACGGTGACAGGATGGGCAAGGCGTCCAAAGGTGGCAGCAGCGAAGGCCAGGACGAAGGAGACATGTTTGCCGCGGCTAATGATGACTTCGACTAAACTCCCAGATTTGTATCACGACTGTCAAATGACGGTCAGTCAGAGGCACAGTCGATTAGCGACTGCGTCTGTCTGGGTCAATCTTATGCTGTGCGATTGGGACATGTGTAATTGAAATGAAATGAATTGAATTGAATTGGAACTATGTTAGTGACCACTTGTGCTAGGTGTGATTGAAACATCGAACTGTCGAAGGTTCTAAACATCTGGGGTTCCTCTTCTGACCCACTGTAACACAATGGACTGGACTTGATTGATCCACTTCTACGTTATCTCATCTCCCAGCAGTTGGAAATGGGCCACAGACTTGGTCTCGGGATAAATTGCTATGGCAACCGCACCCGGGGAGATGGCCTTACCGCGGCCTAAGGCTGTCGTCTAGTCCCCATCGGGACATCCCCAAACGAGTCCCTCTCCATATCGCGACCTCCTCGTTCATTGCTAACCCATACTGTCTGTCACTGTCTCTCTTTCACCCTCTTGCGCATCACTCCCCAGAGAGGGTGTGTCTTGTCTTCGACCTCCTTGCGTTCTTTGCTGCATGTTTCTCTCTTTGATTTTCCATCGCAGAAGCCCCCAATTCGATCCCGAACTGTTTACAATCTACTCCGTTTCATAGTAGCTACCCATGCCACCGGCCGGTCATTGTTGTTTGGAACCAAAGTGCGATTGAATGACCAACCTTGAACCTGAAAGTCCCCCGGAGCATCGTACCTGCTACTTGATAACTGGATCTCCCTGCCCACGGGAAAGGACGACTTATCCGGTGCACGGGGGGCCCGCCCAAACGAACCTACCAGGGACGACCTGACCGCAGTTGTCTTATTTGGCCCTGCCCGTATGTATCACTGCCTGTTGCAACGCCAGCGCGAGCATCTCACTCAGCCTTTGCAGTTTCTACTCAATCACGGCTCCGATATGGCCCTGGATCCTCGGGTTTACCACCATCTCGGCTACGGCAACGGGCTCAGCTCCCCGGCTTCGGTCACGTCATCTGCCATGTCCGCTATCACCGGCATCACTAGCCCGTCCTCCCACGCGATGACTGCTTCTGCTGCTATGTTACGGTCAACCGCCTCGAGCCCTTCGCTGCGCGCTCGCGAAAGTGTTCCCGTTGCGGCGCGCCGAGTCGATGGCCTCTCCAGCCCCTCGCCCGGAGGGAACGTCCGCGTTGTTGTCCGAGTGCGGACCTTTCTGCCTAGAGGTATGTCTCTGTTAACCGATGGAAGCAGGATGGGAGAAAGCTGATCGCGGGCTGGTACCGCCCAATGAACTCCAGAAATCGAACGCAGAGCCCAATGTCTGATCTCCATGGACCCGCACACCCAGACAACCAAGCTCCGGGCACCTCGATCCAATCCCGATGACGAAGGGAAACCCAAGTCGCAGGCGCGCGGAAAGGTTCAGGAGGATAAGTCGTTTGTGTTCGACAATTCGTTCTGGTCGCACAACACCAAAGATAAACATTATGCGACGCAGGAGGACGTGTACAACTGTCTGGGAGAGGAGTTTCTGGACCACAACTTTGAGGGATACCATACCTGCATCTTCGCGTACGGGCAGACGGGTTCCGGGAAGAGCTATACCATGATGGGGACGTCAGAGCAGCCGGGCTTGATCCCACGGACCTGCGAGGACCTGTTCCAACGGATCGAAACCGCCGAAGCCCCGGATATCAGCTACAATGTCCGCGTCTCGTACTTTGAAGTCTACAACGAGCATGTACGTGACTTGCTGGTGCCGCGCACAGAGCCCCCCCACTACCTCCGCATCCGCGAATCCCCGACGGAAGGACCGTATGTCAAGGACTTGACCGAGGTGACAGTGAAGGACTACGGGGAGATTATGCGGTACATGCGTAAAGGCGATATGTCCCGGACAGTGGCCAGCACCAAGATGAACGATACCTCCTCGCGCTCGCATGCGGTCTTTACGATCACGCTCAAGCAGATCCATCATGACTTGTCGACGGACGAGACTACCGAGCGGACGGCGCGGATCCGTCTGGTCGATCTGGCGGGGTCGGAGCGAGCCAAGTCCACCGAGGCGACCGGCCAGCGTCTCCGGGAAGGATCCAACATCAACAAATCGCTGACGACACTGGGACGGGTGATTGCGGCCCTAGCTGATCCGCAGCAGGGCCGTTCAGCGAAGCGCAAGGGCAAGGACATTGTCCCCTATCGAGATTCGATCCTCACCTGGCTGCTGAAAGACAGTCTCGGCGGCAATTCCAAGACCGCCATGATTGCGTGCATCTCACCCTCCGATTACGAGGAAACGCTGTCAACGCTGCGATATGCGGACCAGGCTAAGCGGATCCGCACGCGTGCTCGGGTTAACCAGGATCACCTGTCTGCTGCGGAACGCGACAAGCAGATTGCCGAGATGGCGGAAACCATCCGCACGTTGCAGCTGAGTGTTAGCCAAGCGACCGCCAACCGCCGGGAGAGTGAGATCCAGAACGAGCGGCTCGAGGAATACCAGCAGAAGGTGGAGAAAATGCAGCGGTTGATGGAGGAAACCAAAATGGTTAGCGAGTGCAAAATCCGCCAGCTGCAGACGGAGAACGAGGCCCTTCGCAACCATCTCAAGTTGGCGTTGGATAGTATCCGGAACCCCATCCCGCCGGTGATTGTGCCGGAGCGGCGGAGCAGCCTGTACAGTGTGAATCAAACCCCTGGCTCCCCGTCCACGCGCAAGCGCTACAGTCGGGCCTTATCCCCAGCCCCTACCTCCGGGGACGAGTCGGAGCCGAATTCAATATGGAAGGAAGAAGGCACCCCTGGGAGTGACGAGAACTCGACTCATCTGGAAGCGCATCAGATGCAGGCACACATGGAAGACCTGCTGGAGGACCTGAGTGTGTTCAAACGCAAGTTGGCGACGGACCATGAACGATTCCAACCACCCCAACCAGTGAAAAAGGATCGAAAGGGCCGACGAGCCTTAGGCGCCATCTGGGGGAACAATCGATAGGGAAGCCAGGCTTCGGAGATGTTTGACTGCAGCGTGGGGTGGCTTTCTGGGATTCGACGGCGTTATGCGGATTGGTGTTGGACTAAATGGTGTGATTCCGAAGACCTCCGGTTCTTATAATAGCTGGGCTGGGATGGTCATCTTTGCTATTGGCGTGCTGTAATTCGTTTGCTGTTTTAACTCATGTACTGATGCCACGATGGAACGATTTGTACGTATGGTAGGGCCTTCGAGGAGATGTCCGCCAGACCGCGCCACGATGAAATGTTTTGATGCCCGAATGAGTTGGATGGAATGGCGGGATACGGAATATAAGAACGGAGCGTTACTCTTACGAAGATGCTGGTACGAAGGACCGTGAGAAAATGAAAGAATGTAACATCTGCCTGTCCTTCAGTACTTGACCGGAGTAAAGATGGAGGGTTTCTTTATCCGACGCGGCCAAACTCGTGACTCAAGCCCTTTTCTGATTCCCCACATTCCGTTTCCCAATCCGCTCCGAAAAAGTCGCCCGCAACAACCACAACCTGATTCTCAACCTCTCTGGTCTCACCTCAATGCTTGTCGCGCCGGCCGTCATCCTTTCTGGAAATCTCTCCTGTTGATGACCACCCCAATCCTGCCAGCGCACACCAGCACTCCCTCGCAATCCCTTGTTTCCGCGACCGCAACCGCGACGACCACGCCCACGACCGGCGAAATGACGAGCTCAACCCCGACCGCGCCCTCCCCCTCACCTGCAGCAGCAGGAGCTCCCACCACTTCCACCCCTTCCACCGCATCCACCTCCTCCAAACCCACGAAGCAGCAACCATCCTCCCAATCACAAAAGCCGTCCAAGCCGGCCAACAAATCCAAAGATGCCGCCACCAGTGGTACCGCCGCTGGCGCTACCGCCCCCGCCGACGGCGCAACCGCCCAACTGACGCCCGCCGAACTGAAGAAGCGAGCCAAGGACGAGAAGGCCGCGCGACGGGCCCGCGAACGCGCCGAACGGGAGTCCGGCCCTGCAGGCGGAGCTCCCTCCGGTGCGGCCACGCCCGGCAAGAAGGACGGCAGCGGTTCGGCTGCTGGTTCTACTGGTGGTGGAACCAAACAGTTGCCGCGCCGGGGATCCGCGCAGAATACCTCGCAGACTGGTGGTGGGGGTAGTGTCTCTGGGTCTGGCGCGGCGGCGGCTGGCGGGTTGGAGAAGAGTGGTGGTGGTGGGGGCGGTAGTGGGGAGAGCAAGAGTAAGAAGGCCGACGACAAGAATGTGGCGGTGTTTGGACATCTTTATGGGCAGCAGAGACGGACGACGGTCGCTGGGGCGGGCAAGGAGGTGCATCCGGCGGTGTTGGCGTTGGGGTTGCAGATGAGGGATTATGTGGTTTGTGGGAGTAGTGCAAGGTGTGTGGCTACGTTGTTGGCTTTTAAGAGGGTAAGTTTTATGGTTTTTGTTGGGTCTTGACTCTGGCAGTGCCAGGGTTATACTCTGGAATAGGCCCTAGAGTTGGGCTTGTCTACCGGGTATTATGCTCTGATCCTGTTACTGACCGCTGCAGGTCATTGAAGCGTACACTACGCCCATGGGAACCTCCCTCCCTCGCCACTTGACCACCTACCTCTCCCACCAGATCACCTACCTGTCGACCTGTCGGCCCCTGTCGATCAGCCAGGGCAATGCGATCCGCGCCCTCAAACTGGCCATCTCGTCCATCGACCCCTCCACGCCCGAGGCGGAGGCCAAGGCGTTCCTGGGCGAGTTCATCGACAGCTTCATCCGTGAAAAGATCACCGTGGCCGACCAGGTGATCGCCAGCAGCGCGGCGCAGAAGATCCAGGACGGGGACGTGATCGTGACGTTCGCGGGCAGCTCGATCGTGAAGCAGACGCTGCTGCTGGCGCACAAGCAGGGCAAGAAGTTCCGGGTCTCGATCATCGACTCGCGGCCGCTGTTCGAGGGCAAGAGCCTGGCGCGCACGCTGGCCAACGCCGGCCTGGACGTGCAGTACTCGCTCGTGCACGGCATCAGCCACGCCATCAAGGCGGCCAGCAAGGTCTTCCTGGGCGCGCACGCCATGACCAGCAACGGCCGGCTGTACTCGCGCGTCGGCACCGCGCTGGTCGCCATGAGCGCCAAGGAGCGCGCCGGCGGCGTCGAGGTGCCCGTGATCGTCTGCTGCGAGACGGTCAAGTTCACGGACCGGGTGGCGCTGGATAGCATCGTCGTCAACGAGATCGCCGACGCCGACGAGCTGATCACCGCCGAGCCCATGCAGCAGCTGACGGGTCTGCCGGACCCGGCGGCGGTGACGGTCTCCGCGGCGGACGCGAAGAAGGGCGGCGGCGGTGGCGGCGGGAAATCGGCAGCGGCAGCGGCAGCGGCGGCGGCCAATGCGGCGGCGGAGTCGAACACGCTGGCGCAGAGTGTCTCGTCGTCGTTGACGGGGTGGAAGGAGTCGGCGAATCTGCAGCTGCTTAACATCATGTACGATGTCACGCCGGCCGAGTATGTGGATATGGTGGTCACCGAGATGGGGAGCTTGCCTCCGAGCGCGGTACCGATTGTGCATCGCATGAGTACGAATTTGTGATTGGGGCGTGGATGCTTGTATGTATTATGATTAGAAAACTACTTAGATTGTTTGCGGTGGTCTTGTCGAGATGTAGTACTCAGTAGGGAAGTCTTGTCTTGCTTGGCTTGTTGCTGTTGCTGTTGCTGTTGTAGTTGTACTGTAGTTCCTATCTCTTGTCTCCGATAACCGTTCTTATCTCCGCCAAACACCAACACCAACTCCACCACCACTGCATCGCATTCTCCAAACAAACCACCATACCACCACACCATAGCTTTCTCACTCGCCTTCTCGACAACCGATTTGTTCCCCTAACAAAACACGCTCACCAAACTTCGAATCCCCACCCCCAACAAACCTCACCTCAGATCCAGAACATAACCCACCACCACCAAAATGGTATCCCCCTGCCCCCCTCCCCTCGCTTCATCTCCCCCTCCACCCAAAATACTAATTTCTGTTTTTTTTTTATAAAAAAAGAGCAAAGACTCCACCCCGCACCACATCCACATGCACCACCCGCGCCTCGCCGACTACTTCGAAGACTTCACGCGCCCGCACACGCACACAGCCTCCGCCGGCGCAGCCGCATCCTCCAGCGCCCTCCTCCTGGCGTCGTCCTCGTCCACCACCAACCTCGCCTCAAGCACGTACTCCCTCGCCGCTGCGGCCGCGGCCGCCGCAGCCAACAACACCAATATCCCCCCCGGCACGAACCCGTCGTATCTCCCGGTTGAGGAAATCTACGTGGCGCCACAGTTCCAGCCGCCGAATCCGGAGGACGAGGACGATGTTGTGCCCGATCAGCATGCGGCGTTTGGGATTAGTCGGGCGATGGTTTCTGGGCCTAGGGGTGCTGGGGGACTTGGTGGTGGGGGGGCAGGGGGGTATGGT